CGTTTTGGTTGTTGTCCACCCCCTGGTCGTCAAGCGGTCTGTGCTGCGCGAGCCGATCAGATCTGAGATGAGCGTAGGGGACGACTCCTGGCCATCATGGAAGGAGGGTACCTATATGCAATACTCGGTATGTTACCGATATTTCGAGGGGGTTCACGGCTCGATTCTCCCAATCATCCACCGATAGCCTCCACCCCCTCTGGAGGAGGGGTTCTTCATCCTTCCTCCTCAATATGGCACCGCAAATAGCAGCATGTTTCCCTACCAACAGGGGGTGGGCCACACGTTTCCAAGCCCTCGTGGCGATTTGATAGTGACGCCGGCAATGTTTCCTTTGTCCGTCCGTGGAAGTGCTTGTGCGCATGTCATTTCTTTCCTTGATGTAGCACAGAGCTCCGGGGGAGGCGGGACGGTTACGTGCTTCGGCAGTCTGGACCACGACTGTGTCAGATGACTCACGTTTCCTCTGTCCCCGTCTGTCCAATTCCCGCACCGTGTCCCCAGCGGATGTTCTTAGCAGCAGGGCTCACCCAACGGCGCGCGGGGCGTGGAGAAGGAGGGAGAGGATGGATCGGATTGTGTCAGCGGGTTTTTCTTGGAATGGCAACCCGCCATTGTAAGCCGGGACCGAGCGCGCAGACGAAAAAAGATGGAGTAAGGATGGACCACGAACGGAACAGAGTAGGGATCATGCCTGTTCGGGAGCCGCGCACCAGAAATACCTTTTTTTTTTTTCCTTCCCTGAGCTGTAAACCCATTTGCCCCCCCTCGTCCTCTTCACACTTCGTCTCCGGCATACCTGTGAGAGAGATTCAGTTCATCTCTCCCCTCCCCTCCCCCTACCCCCCCTTGTGGACGGGTGATCTGCCTTCCTTGTCCATGCTTGAACCACAGCCGTAGCTAGAGAAGAGGAGGGGGGGAGGGGGGGGGCTTGCCATAGGTGACTGCTTGATTTGCTCTTACTCTCAAAGGCCATCCTTGCTGCGCTCCCGGGCGAGGGAGGGAGAGAGAGATAGGGGGCTGAGGAGCCATCATTGACGTCGGTTGGATGGCTGGGCTGGGCTGGGCTCGGGAGGCAACCGAATGGATGGGCATCGTGGGCGAGAGAGAGGTGGGCTCGAACCGCGATGCGATGCCGTTTCTGGGCATTCCTGAGGTCTGGTTGGCGGACGATGCCAGAGGCGGGTTGAGTGGCAGAAAGCAGGCCTAGCAGGAGATTGACGAAGCAGGAAAGAGGAGACAAAGAGGAGGGACACATGTCGTGCGGTGACTTGACGTGTGGGCTATGGACCTGCTCGTCGTTCCACTCTTCCTCTTCCACTACATCGCGAGTCATCCTCTTCCTCCCTCCTCCTCCTCCTCCCCCCTTCAAGTTCCACCCCCAAAACTCCAAGACGGCGCGCGTTCCCTTCCACGCTCGCGGAACCTCTGATCCACGCCGTTGAGCTTGGATTTGGATTCCAACGTGCTGCCCGTTGCTGTATCCCCGCGCCATGTGTACCCCTCCCCCCCTCCCAGCTTGAAATGACGCCGCTCTCAGCTCCTTCCCGACCTTTTTCTTTTCTTTTTTTCTTTCTTCTTTGCCTTTTCTCTCCCCGTACGCCCATGTCTCGAGTAGCGAGCGGGTGAACGAGACAAGACAATAGGTAGGTCCAGTCACAAGACGACCGCGTCCCAGCACAGCCCGGGCTGCTGCTACCTAGTGTGCGCAGTGGCTGGCAAAGCAACAGCCAGGCGCGGGGGGGGCAAAAGTATAGGCACCTGGGAATGAGTGGTGTTGGTTGCTCGCTGCTGTCTGAGATCGGAAATGTTGACCCAATCGGGGGTTGCAGATCAGGAGTCTCTGGGGATCCTCTCTCCCAACCTATGCTTTGCCCCCGAGTGAGGCTGCTTGGATGGGGACGGAACAGCTATGTAAACACTGCCGGCTTTTCTCTGGGCCAGTCGTGATGTGATCGTGGCTACCACTAGGTCAGCTGCGCCTGATCTCCCCCTCCCACTCGCTTGTGTATGGCCCGACCTATGATCTACTCGTGCTTGCCCGGCCTGCCCGTCGGGCTACTTGGGTCCTTGGCCACTCACAGGCTTGACGGCAATGCGAAGGCCCTCAACCTATCCAGCTACAATGACGAGAAGCAGAGCATCGTGATACAGCAGCGTGAAGAGAGAGGGAAAAAAGAAAAAGGGGGGGAGAGCCCGAGGACATGGATCACCCCCGAGACTTTTCGTTCCTGAGGATTCTGTAAGACGTGACAGCGGCGCTTGTGGGCGAGATTTGACAGTTGTCGTGAGATCCTGCAGCTGTCCATTGACCCCTCATTCTTTTTCCTTTTCTCTTTCTTGGTGTCATCATGCATCATGCCGACTGCTACAAGAAGGGGGAGGAAGAAACGCTGCCGGAAGGCAGAGAGAGAGAGAAAAAGGGGGGGGGAGGCTGCAGAAACATTGTGTATCGTGTAACGTTGTGTGAATACGTGTGAATGTCCGGACTTCTTTCCTCGAAGGCGGCAAGGGGGGGGGGGGGTTCCGTTGACGTGAGGCAGCCTCAGTTTCCAATATCACGATCATGCAGTGAGAGGATAGCGGCTTCTTTCTCGTTCATTGGGTCATCCATCAGCTTGGATGCCTGCTCCCTCTCGAGATTACGCTCGATCGCGCACCGGGGACGATGCCGTGAGGATGGTGGGTGGTGTGCTGTGTTCACTCTGCCGGCTATCTTCCGCGACAGGGCAAACGTCGAGGACGGGCGTGAGAGGTGACATGTCGACTTTGCCCATACTTGGCTACTCGCCTTCCCCCACCCCCTCTCTCCTTCTTTCCTTCCTTCTCGGCGGAACCATCCTCGTGGCTTCGGGGGGCGGGGCGAGATCAGGGAGTCTGCCATGTCTCGCGGGAGGGCGTGTAAGACATCCTACACCCCAACAGGTGTCTTGTGTAATTCAATGTCATGTCATGGATCATCTGCTCTTTTGATGCTGCATGTCTCGTCGACTCGTTTTAGGAAAGGGGGGGTTCCGCCCACGTACATGGTGGGCGCTGGCGAACATTGTCTTGTCTCGGACGAGCAGTCTATCCCCCCGCGCCGGCGAACGAGCGAGCGCGTTTGAGACGTGGGATTTCTTGTGCGTGTATGTGAGTGCCCCCGCCCTCTCCAAAGAATTGTAGGTATACCGGGACTCTGGAAGATAGAGTGGGGTGATGGAAAAGGGCCCGTTTTGCTGGGTCTTGTTGGTAGTTACTGCGACCTGGTCGAATCAAACATGTGTCATTCTCTCGAGGACAATCTTGGTAAATGGGCCTTTGAAACCTGGCAGATCCTGTCAGGTGGCAACTCGATGCTTTTTTTCCCTTTCCCCTTCCACCTTTCAGGGGGGGGAGGGTTGGCTGATGTCTGATAGAGCGTGCGGAATCCATGGGCTGGTAGCATCCCGCGTGAAGTGAGTAACGAGTGAGGCACTTTGGCTCCAGACTTTGGAAGCTTCTGCCTATGATGGGTTTATTGCGGCAGTAACCATATTCCCGCGACCTCGTATGTAGAGAAGGAGTTTAGGCCCGTGGGAGCACAAGATCTTCCCAGAAGAGGGTGAGCGAATGACCGGCAGAACCGTCTCCGTGTTTCCCTTCCCGCAGCTGTTCATGTCGATTCCCATATTTGAGAATGGATATTTTGCGTCTGTCAACGAAACTTGCGGCCCACCCGAGTATCCCAAATTTGTGTTTGGGCCATCTTCTTTGGGAGTTGGTCAGCATGTATAATCAATGAAACAATCTTAAACTCTTGTTGTCTTATTCCCCTTGCTTCGTTTCCGTGGGCTGCGGCCTCGGTTCGTTGTGTTTCCGTGAGCCTTGTCCCCCCTTCCTATGACCATTGCATCTATGATGGCCACAAATCAGCGGTCCCGAAAGAGGCGAACGAGTGCCCTGCCGTCCGATGCGCGAGCCTTGAAAGTTCTTTAAGCGAAGAAGCAAATCCCACCGAGGAAGAGTTTCGCAAAAGGACTATTCAGTCCCAGATCGAAAACGAAGCAAATTGTTGGGGGGAGTTTAGTCGAAACGGCGCGAGTCTCGTAGCTGGCTTCGAGAACCCGGCTCGAATGCGGATGGCTTCGGTGCCCCCTTGATCAATTCCGATCTGCCGATTTCCAGCTGACAGGACGGGGGGGGGGGGACGCATTCTCTCCCGGCAAAGCAAGTCTGGCATGGAATATTCCATCGGATAGAGAAGCTGGATTTGTTCCCAGTGATGGGCGGCCGCCGTTCCCTTTCTGGAACGGTCGGCCATGTGGGATTCCAGAGGCTGAGGGCCACCCTGGGGGGGGGGGGTGGAAAGCGACCGTCTGAAGCCCTTTCAGTCACACAATCTTCTTTTCTTTCCCTTTAAACTGACTTTCTTACCGCGATCGCCCATTCTATCGATCCTTCTCTCCATCATGTTCGAATGCCAAGGCAAGGACAAGTGAGGAACCAAATTTATGACAGCAAGCGGGACACCTGTGAAAGTGATATTCGCTTGGCACTGGCCTTTCGACGAAAGTCGTGCCCAAGGTCAAAGGTAGACTGGAAGGTGGAATCTGGCCGAGAAACCCATGGAATTGTTGATCATGTAGACGTTTGTGCTGCAGTCCTTGGCCTAGGCGATGTAATCTGCTTATTTTCCGAGAATAAGCAGCTGTAGTAAGACTTCGCGAGAACCTCAGCAGCCTGCCTCGACCAATGTTTAGATACGGAAACCCGGGGCGAAAGCTGCTAGAGGGCATCACGGGCAACCGTTGCTTAACAGTCGCAAGTCCATCACATAACCCGGCTTTGTAGAATGTAGACTTAGGTCATCGTGAGTATGAACCGAGCTGGTACCGGCAAGTAAAACTGCTCTGCTTAGCTTTGCTATATTTTTTGATGTTTTCGAGACGATTCATCAGCCCTTCAGCATCATACACGAGCTCTCGGTCAAACAAGAAACTTAACGTACACTACCTCATTCAGACATTGTCATTACAATATCAATCCGCCCACTGTGAGAGGTAGAACTTGACGTTCTCGTACACGAGGAAAGTGACCCATGTAGCGGGCATTACCCTCACGACGCCCGGCATCAGGCCGCGATAGAAGCCCCTGAGACCCTCCTCCTGCCAAATTCTCGCCACAACGCCCCGGATCCCGCGTCCGAACCGCTCGTCGGCGTCGTAGTTCTGGAGCCGACTTCGTAGCACCTGGTAAGGGTACGTCACCGCGCCAGCGACCAGCTTCGCGGCGCTCGAGATGACGACGGTCGCCTCGTTGCTCAGGCGGCCACCGCTGTCGCCCTTACGCTGCCTGCCGGCGAAGTACATCTTCTTTGCGGGCTCGTATACGGCGAACTGAACGGCGCCATGGGAGACACCGATGAGCCCGACGCCGAGACCGCGGTAGAAGCCGCGCCAGCCCTCGGAGCGGTACAGGACCTTCGCGCCGGACCACATGCTCTGGTAGGCCCCCGCGGCGTTGCGGTCCGAGGAGACCATGCGCGTCTTGATCACCCATATGGGGTTCGTCAGGACCTGTGTGAGCGCCCCGGCGCAGGCGGAGGAGACGAAGAAGTCCTGCGTGGTGAGGTACTCTTTTGTCAGGTTCCGCGCTTCGGAGTCCGAGCCATGGGTCAGGGGCAGGTAGCCGGCCTTCCAGTAGGCGATGGCGCGCTCGACGCGTGACTTGAAGAAGAAGAAGGCGGACCAGCTCGAGGCGTTGCCGATGAGGTTCGGCGTCAGACCGCGGTAGAGGGAGGCGATGGGGTGCGGGTTCTGGGTGAGTGTGCGGATGAGCGACATGGTTGTCAGCGAGACGGACGGGTTGGCGGCGCTCCGATGAACTGGACATCTGGTTAGCCAGCTGCAAAGACGTTCGTTGGGTAGTACATGATCGCCCCCACTTACTCTGCATCCGCGTCTTGACGATATCAAGCGGGTGGACTACAAGAGTCGCGACCGAGCCTGCCGAGAGACCGGCGACGGACTCGACGAGCGCGGGTGAGATGCCCGCATCTTTGCTTTCTGACATAGAAACGAGGGACTCTTGGTCACATTGCAGAGTACTGAAAACAGAACAGTGCTTTTTTCGCCAAACCGAAGCGTCCTCTTAAGCTCAAGTTATATGTCGAAAGGAGCTCAGGTGAAGCTTAAGTGTGGCTGATGACACCCCCGGTCTAGGAAAAAAAGAATTTCATACGTCATTTTAGCTTGTAAAATTGCGGCTCCGCTGCGTTAATTCGTAGCTTCAGCCACAGCTAAGCAACCCCTTCGCCGGGTCATCATGATGAGCAACACGTCAACGACTCTCGGGGTCCTGGGTTGCAACGCCTTTTACGCTTTTTACGCTGTTTCAGAGCTATTGGTCATGCCGTCTCTGAGCGACAGGTTCAGAACATCACTAGACAAACGAGGCGCGTAGGGTCGCGCAGGCTAGTTAGCTGCCGTTTTGAGGTCGGAGCTAATGGGCTCGATACGATTTCCAATTTCATTGACTGATCGTAAGTAATTCATATTTGAGATTGGTTTTCGTAGATCTAGCCTGTTCCAGATGCTTGCCCCCCCCCCCACAGGTAGCCTTTACAAAAGCCGACGTGTTAGGGATATATATACCCAACAACCACCTGGTGGCCCAAAATCGTATGTGATATCCCTACGTGTGTGCAGCATCGGCGACCATCTGTGAGCTTGCCGTTTATGTCTCATAACATGCGATAGGAGTGTCGTCAGAGAGGGTTCATTTGATTACATAGGTAGTTGTACAGTTCGCCGAGGCCACAGCCCGAAGTCACCAATCGCCCACGCCGAGGATCCGTCGCGTCAACCCTGAAAATGCCGGCCTGCCTGTTCTGCGTCGGAAGCCTGAATAGTGTACATGAAGTCGATGCCGAAGGCGCCTGTCGTCTAAGAGAGAGGGGAAAGGAGGCTGAGAAGGAGTTAGGACTTGATCCAACGCTCGTCGGTCTGACAGCTGAAAAACATACCGGATGACAGACGGGCGGGGCTCGCTGCGGGTGTAGCCTGGGGATAGTCAGTATCGTCGCCATGGGAGAATGCGTCAGCTTTGATGGCTCGTTCGTACCGAGGTAGAGGACAAGAGGGAGGTATCCGCTACGAACACATTAGCATCGCGGTCAATATCAATCGATTCTGCGGTAGAGCATACTAGTGAATGGCAATGCGGGAGATCTCAATGATCTTGCCAATGCGCTCCTACAAATGTGATGATTAGATTCGGGTCGCTGCGGCGTGGTATGGGCAACGGGCGCATCGCACCTTGGACTCCTCGGAGAGGGCGAACATCTTGACAGCTGGAATGGGATGTAGACTGAATGAAAAGGGAAGAAACGGCTGATGTGCGCGATGTCGCAAGTGTTCGTTCGCCGGGGTTCGCAGGTTTCTCGTCGTCGCTGCGTCGGGATGGTGGATGTGCTGGGCAGAGCTACACCTGAACTTTTTCTCAACCTGCCGGAAAAATCACGTAGTGGATCCACCCCGGAAGAACCACGCAACTGGGAAGGGGGTCTGGCTTATCCAACCTTAGAACTCGATAAGGTACGTACCTCCGTTAACTGAGCTCGACACCGCGTTGAACGTCGAGGCCGAAATTTCCAGGTCGCTCGTGTCGAAGCCTGGATACAGGCACTCTCGCCTCACGCACCCAAACATCCTGCCATATCTTTCACTACCGAAACTAGGTCGCGCAGATAGCACGGAGAGCATCGAATATTCAAAATGGCACAAAATAGGCATTGGTGAGCTTCAATCGCTGTGCCCCGCAAACCTTCAAACGCAGAGCTAACCGCACGCGACGTAGGGAACAAGACAAAGATGCGACCATCTACATCGGTAACATCGACGAGCGCGCGAGCCCAGCCATGGTTTACGAGGTCATGCTACAGATGGGCCCCATCCACAACATACACATGCCCCGCGATCGCGTCACCCAGAACCACCAGGGCTTCGGCTTCGTTGAGTTCCGCACGCCCAGCGACGCCGAGTACGCCGCCAACGTGATGAACGGCATCAAGCTCTACGGCAAGTCGCTGCGCGTCAACAAGGCCAGCGCCGACAAACAGAAGCAGGCAGAGGTTGGTGCCGAGTTGTTCGTCGGCAACCTCGACCCGATGGTCGACGAGAAAATTCTCTACGACACCTTCTCGCGCTTCGGTCCGCTCATCACCCTCCCCAAGGTCGCCCGTGAGGATAGCGGCAACTCCAAGGGATTCGGCTTCATCTCCTACGCCGACTTCGAGAGCTCCGATGCCGCCATCGCGAACCTCCACGGGCAGTACATCCTCAGCAAGGAGGTCTCGGTCCAGTACGCCTTCAAAAAGGACGGCAAGGGCGAGCGCCACGGTGACGCCGCCGAGCGTGAGCTGGCCGCGCAGGCCAAGAAGAGGAACATCGTCCCGGAAATCCAGGCGGTGCCGCCTGCATTCTTGAATGGGCCGCCCCCGGCCGCCGCACCGACTGCACCCGCCGGCTTCGATCCCGCAAACGGTCTTCCAGCTCCGGTACCCGGTCCCGGAGCCCCTGTCGGCTTCGCGCCCCCGCCACGAGGACCTGCACAGTACAACGCCGTACCGCCGCCTCAGGCCATGGGTGGCCCCGGTATCGGTCGTGGCATGGTCCTCCCGCCCGCGCCGTCCGGCCTGCCAGCCCGCCCGCCTCAGTCTCAGGGATCGTACACCAACCCGGCCGACTTTCACCCGGGCGCTCCCGGATTCCGTCCACCCAGCGGGCCTCCCGCGCCTCAGGGTTTCGCCGCCCCTCCCCCCGCCTTCCCCATCCCCCCTCCAGGCCCATCTGGCACGCCGCCCGCGCCTCCTGGTTTCATGCCTCCTCCGGGTTTCAACCCTCACGGGTTCCCTCGACGATGAAAAGGAAAGTCACCACTTGGTGGTGCGTCGACCAATACAAAACAAAGCCACCGCTCCGATGAAGCAGCGCTCCAGGGAAACCCTTGTAGGGCAACGTCGTTTCCAGAAAAAAAAGGGCGTTCAGGATGGGGCCATGCGAGGATTTGTCAAACAAGCGAGTTGAATCAAATTGCAATGGTCTGTCTTCGCTTCGAATAGACGGGTTCGCCATTGCTAACGTTGTCTAGATATTCACCGTGCGAGGCGGCTACAGTAACGCAGTGGTGGCGTGTCGGGCCCGGGCGCCGGGCGGGAAGTTTACAGGATCTTTAGTCAGATAGTATCACCAGCAGACCACACCCATGGAAGTCAAGGGTCTTGTTTGCCCCGAGGTAGTAAGGAAGCAATGAGTCCTCCATATAGGACAGGCAAATCATTTCGTGTGCGGTGCCATTTCATCATGATGCCGCTGTCTATATGCTCCACTGTCAGTGGTTCCGTCACCGTAACAAGCAATCACAAAATGGCGAAAGACAAGGTAGAGATGAGTAGCCACAGCACATGGCTTTTGGCAGTATCGTCTTTTGTACATGGATTACATATGATAGGTATACAAGTATAATACAGCCTCTAATCCGTGAACCTCTATGGATCTTTGGGCTCATCCCATGTCAGCGGCTTCCACTGCTTTTGGTGGCTGAAGGCCTCATCCCAGGTCATGGGCGCCTCCTCGCCGACAACATGGACCGGCGACTCCTTGCTCAAAGCATCCTCCTGCTTGCGGAACCGCCTCCCCCTCTTGCTCATCTCCTCTAGTTTGCCAGCGAACATGGCGTACCATCTATTCTTCCGGTCAGAGCCGCTGTCAGGTGTAAGCACCTTCTTTCGTCTCGCCTGGATCGCGCTGTATATCGTCTTTGCGCGCTCGCTAGGAATTTCCTCGATAGAGTACTCCAGAGACCAGTTCAAATCCAAAAAATTGGGGCCGGGCCGCGGCACGTATCGCCCGTTGACATTGTTGCGGACCGTCACCACCATACCCAGGAGTTCGCCCTCGGAGATGTCGAGTTCAGTGTCAGCCTCTTTGTTCTTCGCTCCAGCATCGCTGGTGGCTTCTTTGACAGCCTCGGCCGCCGCGGCCACACTACCGACTGTGGACTCGAGATCCTCGCTGCTCTGAGTCGAAGGGTCGGCGGTCTGTGATGTTGTCGAGGATGCAGAGTCGCTTTCTACCTCCTTGGACTTAGCCACAAGCTCGGAAAGGATCCGTTCGAATGTTCGGAGTTTGGAGACGTCGGAAGCGGCGTCGTCGTCTGGCATCTCAGCCTCTTCAGCCTCGGACTTCTCATCGACACGCGTGGCAACCTGAAGAATGAGATCCTTCAGGCCAAGATCGCGAGAGCCGCGTACCTCAGAGTCCTGGCGGTTGGTGTTCGGAGGGGAGGACTTTTCTCCATCTTGCGTTGTCTGCGCTTCACCTGCATCTTGTGTAACTGTTGTCTCTTCGCCACTCACGCCGCTCGTTGGCGTAGCCTCCTGCACGGTGTCGAGACCGTCGGCTTGAGCAGAGTCGACTGTCGAAGAGCCAGATTCAATGGCAGGTGTCTCGAGCTGCTGATCATCCCTGCGATCGCTCTCGCGCATCTCGCTAGCTTGGCTGGAAGTGAGAGCCTCGAGGAGACCATCAACATACCAACGTGCCTCCTCCGGCGTCCGTGCCTTGAGAAGACCGCTCTGCTCGAGAGCATCCTGAATTGCCTCTCGAACGTGGCCAATGCCCAGGGCGTCATCCTCGACCGCCTCGTCCACTTTTTCCTGCATCTCCTCCCAGAAAGCTTGCGTCTGCCGTTGCTGGTTCGCAGCTTCGTCGACACTAACGCTCGCTTCTTCCTGGCTGACTAACTGCTCGGCTTCCGGCTCTGGTGCTTCGGGCTCCGCCTCTTGTTGGGCTAGGCCGAGAATTTGCTGTTCAAACTCGGCAATGGCAGCCTTGCTGGTGGTCTGGACCTTCTCGATCTCCTCTCCCGTGACGGGCTTGGCGAAAACGTACATGAAAGGAGGATCGGTTGGACGCGTTTCTACGTGAAGGCGGATGGAGCGACCGGGGAACCGCTCAGTGGCACGGTCGAGGACCTTGTTGAGTAGGTGCAGACTAAGCTTGAACTCTTGGTCGCCGAGAGAGCGGTCCTCAGTTCCGTGCAGAGCCAGGTCCATCTCATCTAGACTGACGTACTGGAAGCCAAAAATGCGCTGAGTGTTGTGAAATGCGACAAAGATGCCATCCATACGGCCCATCCGCACTTGAAGAGAGTACTTGAGAAATGCCGATCTAATCATGTCAAAGTATTCCCGCTCGAACGACTCCCAATTGCCGAACCGTTTGCGAATCTCGTACCCGAGGCCTTTCTGGAATCCCTGGGCATCCATGCGAATGGAAACGACAGCTCTCGTCTTCAGGTCGAACATACCAGTCCCCGGCAAGCGTGGGTCATACGCGTCGAGCTGAGATCGCATGAGGAAGTCGCCCATGGTCGTGAAATGGAAAGCTTCATTAGCGTTGCGCTCTTCCTCGCTGATCTGATCTGAGTTGACCCGACGGTATCTCTCAAACTCATCCTTGGGCAGTGTCAAAAGCTTCTCCATAGACTTTCCAAGCATGCTCAAAATGTTGGCCGTGTCGTACTCCTTGTCTGCATCAATGGCGTATACATCATCTTTGAGGTGGAGGAACGCAGCAGCTGGCGCGCGCATGATTAATGTGAAGGATTGAGGATCCGTGTTTAATTGCCGGCTGAGATGAGCAGGGTTGATTGGTCGCCAAGCAGAGAGCAGATAGTGGAAATGCGATAGCATCTGTGTCATGCTGGAAGTTGAACCGGTATATTTCTTGCGAAGCTTGGCTGCAAGACCGACCAAAGTAGTGTCTTTGGAAGAAGTGACATACTGCTTAAGCGCGTTAAAGTCGAACTCGTTGATCGGCATGATGTTGGCGAGGTAAGGGTCAAAGTTGTAGACTCGCGAACGAGGGTCTTGCATATGGTAAACCCCAGGATTGAACAAGACCCGGTCCAGCCCATAGGAGAGGCTTGGTACCGCCGGCGAATCCGGTATTTCAACAGACACCAACTGAAGTTCCTTCGCCGACACACCCTGGATAACGACGGGAACCTTTCTCGACGTCTTCGACCTCTTCGCTGGTCCATTTGCAGAGGACTTGACAGTTGCGCTTGAAGGGTCACTACTGAAGGAACCAGCAGCGTTGACAGCGGATGCGGCTGCTGCGGCCGCACCTGCCCCAAAGGGGACTTTGCCACTGCGAGACAAACGGTTTGTAAAAGATGTCCATTTATCCAAGGCCTCGGGGTTTTCGGAAGTGACCCTGTCGGGCTTCGAAGCAGAGGATGCCGACGTCTCGGGCGATTTGCGCAGCTTGTGCGGACGTTTTCTGCGCACTTCTACTCTGCGAATCATGAGCTTCGAGTCCGAGGTTTCAGCTTCACCATGTCCAGCACTCGGTGTTGTTGATGTCGGTTCTTTAGCCGAGCGTGCTTTTGCGGGTTTGGACAAGGGCTCATTTGCACTCGGTCGCTTGGCCAGATGGTCCAGAGGAATTTGCTGCGAGTTCAAGACGCTTTTGAGTACATCCAAAGTCCCGCGTATCGTCTTGAGCTTCCCGCCAATCTTGTTTGTTTGCCGTATGACGAGCGAGTCCAGTCCTCGCGTTTTTGATGCATTGTCGGGGTCCTTGTCGGTGACCGTGATGGTGCCATCCTGTGCCCCCTTCTGAACGAGGGAGAGTCTAGAGTTGATAGAGGCGAAACCATCCTCAAGGTTCTTCAAAGATTCAAACACTTGCCGTATGACTTCGGGACCGGCCGGTTCTTCGCTCGTCGTCGACGGGGATTCCGGGGAAGTGGACTGAGAGGTTGTAGCCTGGTTTTTCTTCGTCTTCTGCGGCGAGGACTTCTGTCGACGGGAGCGAGTGGTTTTTGCGCGTGCGGATTTTTTTTTCTTGTCGGTCTCTTCGTTTGGTAGCTTTATTGCCGTAGCATCTATCTCATCTGGAGCTGTTGACCCCTTTGCGCTGTCCGAGTAACCACGAACGCTCAACGGAACGGTGCTCTGGAACAGAGAGGGTATAGAACGACATGGCGCCGAGAGACAAGATCTGCAGGAACCACACAGGTAAGGAGTTCCGAGCCTCCGGAGGCGTTGAGGGTTAATACGAAGCATTGGAAAAATTCTTGTCAAGATCCCCAAGGCGCAATGGGGAGTTGAACTGGGTGGGAATCAGCTAGAAGTTGCTTGGGCAATTTTTTTTTTCAGAGGTGCAGCATCAAACGGCGGGACGCAGCACAATACACGCGCCAGGGACCCACATGTGTCCGTGCGTGCGTGCTGTCCATTAAAGGGGCACAGGGGAGAGGACGGAAATCTACAAGTGGATCACAATGCGCTTTATTGCGGCAATCTCTCACTTCTGTACAGCCTCTCCCTTTCAACAACAAATTGAAAAGACCCGATCTCGGGGCCCATCATCTCCTGATCAACATCGCCACCTCATGTCGCAGCGTACATATCGGGGGGTATTATGCTTTCCCAAACAACCAACTTATGCCAGGCCAAACACCGTACAAGACCAGACGCCTGTCCCAAAGCCGTGAACACATGACCCTCACTCATCCGAGCCTACTCCTTTCCAGTAAATGCGTGAGACGCATAGTCTGTGGCGGTCTGGCGTGCTGCGTCTGCGTCTGCAAAAAGTGCTTGAACTTCAAAAGAGTCGGCCAGCATGCCGTCTGCGACGCTCATCCAGAGCAGGTTTCCACTTCGCTTCGCCTGCGTCGAGGCTGCCCTTGCACTCTTGAGCGCCTGCTCGCCAACCACATTGTCGAACAGTCTGAATCGCATAATGCTCAGAGCGATCGCCAAACAGTGCGTGTTGCCCGTCACCTTTGAACCGTTCAATGAGTTCGTTATACTCGTTTTGATCTGGTGCATCGACGGAGGGGGCAAAGTATTGGCTGTCGCTTGGACGAGATTGAAAGCGGTTCGGATGTCTGGATCTTGGTGGTCGGTGCACATCGGCCGCAACTGCTCCAATAGATCGGTGGATGTCAGTTCGTCGCGATATGACGAGTCTTGGAGAATCCAAATACGATTCAGAGCGGCAAGAATGCAGAGCTCCAGCTTGGCAGGCTTTCTGCCGCCTGGCCCTCCTCGCCCTGCGTGAATGCTCAGCCTCTCGTCTTCAAACAAGATAAGCGCCGTTTCGAGGTCGCCGGTGCCTTGATGATACACTCCAGAAAGATAGAGTGAGAACACGCTGAATATCTCGTTCACAGCTGGCGTAATGGCCTGCTGCAGCTGCGCCACGCACTGTTCGACTTTCGACCATTGGCTGTGGGTTGCAAAGTACAATCCCGTCAGCGTTTGAAGGTAGCAGAACATCTCGGTTCTCCACTTAGCCTGCTCCATGGCTTCTCGTAGCGATGCCGCAGGGACGCTAGGGGCAACCTCCTTGTTCCCTTGGGAAAGTTAGTGGCTATTCCCCATGAGCAAACAACTCAGACTTACACTTCGCCAGTACATCAAACCCTTCTTTCCAAAACTCATGGCTTCTCTTCGGATCCGAGCCAGGTCGATACATGCCGGCCAAACCGCTGAAAGTATACCTGAATCTTTTTAGCTAGATTGCTTCGGTGGAGCACCAATCACACGTGAACATACGTTAAGACAACGATCTCGAGTCTGTTCAGGAAAGTCATTACGATGTAATCATGTTGGCCGTTAGAGGACCCAGCCCGGAGAATCGCGGAAGTGTCATCGCTTAGTGTCGCGGAAGTAGCGTTGTGTTTCTTGATGGGGATCAATATCTCCGGGTTCAAGTCGGTCCAGGTCTGCGAACCCAGGTTCGCATCCAGCTTCGCTTGCAGTGATCGCAATTTGTGAATTAGTATATCGGGTGTCTTCTGATGCATGCTGCAAGCAAGATCGAGTAGGAGTGTCAGAACGTCCAACTGCGGTATTTGTACTGACGGGTCCAATTGGTACTTGGTAGCCTGAGCCAAACAGGTTTGCACACGTTCAATAGTGTCAGTGCGCATGGTTCTCAGAACAGATAAGCCTTCCATAAGAGAAGCAAAGACAACCATGGCGTGATCGCCTCGTTCGCCAGCAAGTGCAGCAATCGCTCGCAAGTTGTCCAAAACTGCGGCATCAGGCGGACTACCCGCATGGACATGGAGTGTAGCCTTCAACAAACGAAAGGCGTAAACCCAGTGAATATGTTTGAAACTAGGTACTAGTTAGCGAGCGGTGCGAGGTTGGTCGGGACATCGCAAAGACTACGCACGTCAAACAGTCCGAGATATTCTTGTCGACAGCAATGAAGGCCGCCTTCTGGTTACGCTGAAACAGTACCTTCAGCAGAAGATACTGCATGCAGTATTTGAGGTCGGTGTATCTATGCTAGGGGGTTGTCAGCATGGAATACAGCCTGAGCAGCATCCGAGTCTCACGAACCTTGTCACATATGGTTATGCCCTTACTCAAGGCCGTTTCCGCTTCTTGCAGGTTCTCCGTCTCGTCGCATAAGATGGAAGCGTACCTGAGCCTCGCTTTCGCCTCCTGCCTTGGAGAGAGTCTGTTGCTCTGGAAGGCGGCCTCGAGACAAGCCAGTCCGGTTGTAATCAGCTTTTGATACTCGCGCACCTGGTTGTCTGAGCCCGACACCGCGACTCTCTGTACACCACGGCGGGCCTTCTCAAAACACTCTTCCGCCACATGTACCAGGATCGTGGTCGTGTCGTACGACTTCGCTTTGGACGACAAGGCTGGAGAGCCCCTAGAGGATATTGCAGGGGAGTTCATCGAAGAGATCGCCGGCGACTTCCGGGCTATGCTGGGAGACCGAGCGGGTTGTACAGTTGGCGAGTTGGCGAAGTTGGGTTCGGGACTCGGTTGAACTTGGGGAGGTTCGGTGAAGGTTTGGTTCAGAACCGGTATACCCTGAGTTTGGCCCATGGTCGGTTGAGAAAACTGAGCATACTGAGGTACCGCCGGAAAGACTTGCGGGCTGCGTTGCTGCTGCTGATGAGGTTTGTGCTGCGGTTGCGGTTGGTGCTGCTGCTGCTGCGGTTGAGCAGGAGGCTGAGGGGGAGGCAGCGGCAGTTGCTGGTATTGTGGTTGGAATTGTGGTTGGTGTTGAGACTGCGTTGTCGGCTGGTATTCGGCGTATACGGGCGGCGTTGGGAACGGGGTAGGCGCAGGTGCGAGCGCGGGAGATCGCGAGACATGCGTGTTCTGGGTGAACGAGTGAGGAGGCGCGAACTGACCATTCACCGCACTGTTGTGAGCAAACGGCTGTTGCGTCTGGTGATGGTGGGGGTAATGCGGTCGCGGTTGCGGTTGCTGCTGCTGTTGCAGATGTGGGAGCTGCTGCTGTTGCGGATGTGGGAGCTGCTGCTGTTGCGGATGTGGGAGCTGCTGCTGTTGCGGAAACGTGCTGCCATAGGCAGGAAATTGACCATAACCATTGGCCTGCATATTCATGGACGTAGGAGCAGGGAGGATAGGGGCAGGTGCCGGCGCCGGTGAGTGATGATAGTCCCCGTGAACGGGTTGCGCCTGCTCGTGGCCGCCATATGCAGCATTCGCGTAGGTTGGGTTCTGACTATTGCCGCTGCCGTTCCCATTGCCGCTACCGTAGGGGTTATTGTACGGTTGGGGAGCTTGCTGCTGGCCGTTGAAGGCCTGCCCCGAAGGCAGTGAGCCCCGGTATGTCATCTTTGAGACGGCATATGGATCGCAGGTTTTGCTACATGGAGTATCGGTGGTCGCTTTATTGAACGGAACTTGTTGCGACGCGGTTGCTGTCCAATAGCCGCATCACAAGGCTCTGTCGGTCGAGAGTTAGGTTGGTTTGTGGCCCCTGTATGTCTTACATAATCACACGTGCACTTGGTGTTGGCCAATGCAGGATGCACAGACCGCCTCTCTGTCTCTCAAGACACCTAGAATGGAAAGTAACGTAACGCTCAGGTGGCTAAACATACAGTACGGATACCTACAAGGGAGCTTCCTCCAGCGTCTTGGAATGACTTCTGATACTACCTTCTGATTGGCGGCGAGCAAAGTGCCTCGGCTCAACATCAAGCTCATGCACCTGGGACCGAATCCTGGGACCGAATCCTAGGACTGAATCCCACCTACTTTACAGAGGCGAATACCTGATCGGTGTGCCCAATGCCGATCTGCTGCACGGAATCGCGGATTACTGGCACCTTTGGTGCTATCCCTAAGATGGACAACTGTCCGTTCGTGTTTGATTCTTAAATCGGAAGCTATCAGGTTCCTCCGGGCTCCACTACCATGACTTGTGGTCCTCTTTCCCTTTTCTCGTGGTAGAACTTTTGACTTCTTTATAACTGTTCGCTTGACTCACTTTCCAATACTTCACACGAGTTGTTGAGGAGGTTGCATGACTCCTGTCCTCACTATACTCGGCCTCACATCCTGTGCCCCTCGGCTACGGCCCCACCATCTTTCCCTATCCCCGAACTTCCCCTGAAGCCAATCTGTCTCATCAATTGTTGCCCTCAGACTACGAATCATGGACTGGCTTGGACATGCCAAAATCAACTTCACACACGCGCCATCGCCTGTGTCTCTCAAGGAGAAAGATGGCACTCAGACTGATCTACTGAAGGTATGCGAGAAGATCACACCACCATGCCAAATGAACCCTCTCCTCTTCAACGGCCATCTGCAAACAATGTGGACGGCCACGAAGCAGCACGGCCCGCCGGTGTACTATCGCCGAAAGGTGTTCCAGGCCGAGGACAAGGCGTTTGAGGGTACCTTTGCTGTCGACTTTGTGACGGAGCCCTTTGAGGATGCGGACAGTAGTCTGCCGCCGCGTACGAAGTATTTCGAGCAGCAGGACTTTGGTTCCCTAGCTTCGGACGACGACAAGCCCCAGCTTATCGTTCTTCACGGTCTCTCGGGAGGCTCTCATGAGATCTATCTAAGACATGCCATAGCGCCATTGGTCGACTCGGGGAAGTGGGAGGTGTGCGTAGTGAATTCGAGAGGCTGCGCGAACAGCAAGTTCACCAGCGGCATCCTGTACAACGCCAGGGCGACTTGGGACTTCCGCCAGGTCAGTAACTCAAGCCATCGGCTGGCTTAGGAGGACTAGCTGACGATTGGTGCAGACGGTTAAGTGGATGAGGAAGAATTTCCCGAACCGGCCGCTGTTCGGCTTGGGTTTCTCGCTCGGCGCCAACATGCTGACCAACGTATGCCTCATGTCATGTCCGCTGACAGGATTCGACTAGTTAACTGGTTTGATAGTACTGCGGAGAGGAGGGTGTCAACTGTGAGCTAACGGCCGCGGTCGTCTGCTCCAACCCCTTCAACCTTGAGGTCTCAAACAAGGCATTGAGGCGGACGTTCCTCGGCAGAGAGGTCTACCAGAGAGTCATGGGAAGTTAGTCGTCCTCCCTGATTGCAACTTAACACCGTCCCGAGCTCACACTGTTCAACAGGCAGCATGAAGGAGCTTATCGCCGGCCACAAGGAGGCTGTGCAGAAGTACACAAACCTGGATCTTGAACGTCTCCAGAAAGTGACGTATCTTTGGGAGTTTGACAGAGAAGTCCAGTAAGTCGCTAGGTTGCGAAACTTGCTCGAGTAGTTCTGACTTCCGTAGATGCATAAGCTGGGGCTACCCTACCGAGAGTGCTTACTACCGCGATGCGTCATCATCCGATGCAGTGCTGGCCATTAGGATTCCATTCTTTGCTCTTCATTCGACTGACGATCCCGTGAGTATCTCATACTGATCGAACTGGAAAAGAAGGGGCTGACACAAGACGCAGATTGCCGTGAACGAGGCAATTCCCTACGAGGAATTTGAGAAGAACCCGTATACTGTCCTGTGTACGACGTCCCTCGGTGGGCACCTCTGCTGGTTCGAGCCCGGCGGCGGAAGATGGCACGCAAAGCCAGTATGTCTCACATTGTCGATTGCGAATGGGCTCTTAGCTGACAGGAACAGGTTGCAAACTTCTTCAACCACATGGCATTCAACGTAGACCACAGCCAACTCCCTCCCAAGACGAACGGAGCCCCGCCCACGAACGGCAAATCGATATTTCACTTCAACCCAGTGAAGCGTAAGATGGAGATTAAAGCAAGCTCGGAATAGACGTACACAATTAGATATAGACCTTGTGTAGAGCGAATGATGATTTAGATAAAAAGGGAATTAATGCTATTGAGAGTAATTTCGAGACTTTGTACAGAGCTACAGATAGTAAGACGTACAACTTGAGAACGGCGCAACGAGGAGATACGTCGCCCGGCGGTGCCACGGCCTACTAGTCGCCTGACGGTTTAGCATTAAGCTCTCGCGTAACGGCAAGATCAGCCATGGTATCTGCTCTGAACGCCACCAAATACTACAAAGGGTTTTTTTTTTAAGAAAAAAACAAGGTAATAGTATGCCCGCCCACTTCCCAGTCCAGTATGTTTTAATTTTTGGCACTCCGAAACGCCGCCCATGATGCGAACACATGCAAAGATAAAAAAGGCAGCGCCTCTCAGCTGGTCGACCCCCTCTACGCGAACGAGACGCTCTTCCTCTTCTTGGGCTTGGCGGCCCTGGACCCCGAGATGGCGATCTGGTTGACGTTCTCCTCGTTCTCGGGGCGGCCGTTGGCGGCGCGCTTCCTCTTCTTCCTGAGGGATTCCTTTGTTTCCTCCAGCTTCGACTTCCTCTCCTCCTCCTTCTTCTCGGCCTCTATCCGGCGGGCTTCGCGGATCTCCTCCATCTGTCTTGCCTTCATCATCTTGGACTCAATCTGGCCCTCCTTCTCGGCCTGCACCATTGCGAGGATTGTGGTCATGCTCTCCTGTTCGATATGTCAGCGGTCGGAGGATAAGGGGGGGACGCAATCGGAGGTGAGCCGTACCCTATCGTCGACGAAGACCTTGCCCTTCTTCTTGCCCTTGGGCTTCGCGACACCGACAGGCGTAACCATGTTCAGCTTGGGAATGTCAAGCTCCTCCTCCGTGTAGACCTTCTTCTTGCGCTTCTTCAGCAAGGCTTCGAGGTTCGACTTTCCCTTGGTCTTCAGCGGCTTGGTTCCCTTGGGGGTGTCCCTGGTTTTCCTGACGATGCCGTCGGGCGCGGCGGCTGCGTTCTTGGCGGCATTCTTGCTGTTCTTGATGCCGGAGCCGTTGGAAGCGTGCTTGTTCTTGACAGTTCTCGTCTTTGAGGGCGCCATCGTGGATATCGTGTGAGGGTTGCGGGTGTGGGTGAATTGGAACTCGTCGCGACTCGGCGGGATGGGGTGAGTTGGAGGGACCAAGTGCGAAATCTAGAATTTTTTCTGACTGTCGGGGGCGATAAGCTCACCGAGACTGAGACGATAAGCTTCTGTGGGCCCGCTCCCCGCCATTCGACATCACTGACAGGCGCCTACTGAGTACGGGGTGGTCCTGAGAGACAACAATCCCCAATAATACGTTTGCAACAGATTGCCCAGTCAGCTTGCTTCAATACATTACAAAACTACATTATGCCGACTAGAGTCGTGATTGAAGTCACAAAGACATCAGACAAACGCACCACTCTAGCTTGCATTGACCTTCGGCACGGGCAGAGCTCCAGGGACGAGTTTCAAGGATTGAGGACCGACTCACTTGACCCAATGCGCATTTTTCAAGCTGCAACGGCGTAACATCCCTGTCAAAAAATTAGGCGGCTTGCCGTTGCCGCACCCGGAGCCATACAAATCTCTCTCACCCACCTCTTCTTTCATTCAGCGACTAACATCCTCTCCCCAAGGATAGCCACACAGCGCCAGCAAGCCAGCAAGCCGTGTCTGAGCCATTGGCTCTCGAGCTTCCTTCCTTCTTTCCCCCATTCTTTGATCCGTACCATTTGGCTTTTGGCCAATCATTAGGATGTCGCAGCCCGTCAAGAGGTTTCCTGGCCATTTGGCTCAATTTGTGAGATGCTACTCTGTTTCCGCTGAGACTATTCCGGTGGTCAAGAAGAAGTACATCCCGACTGAGGGCACATATCCCAAGGGCTTCCAGGCCTCTGGCATCCTCGTGGGAGTGAAGCCGGGAAACAAGACGAAGCCCGATCTCGCCCTACTCAGCTCAGACCGGCCCTGTGCTGCTGCTGCCGTCTTCACAAAGAACAAATTCCAGGCGGCGCCTGTTACCTTCAGCCGGGAACTTTTGAAGAAGAAGGCAAACCGCGGCATTCGCAGCGTCCTCATCAACTCAGGATGCGCCAATGCCGTCACCGGAAAGGGAGGTCTCGAGGATGCTTCTCTCATGGCACACGCTGCCGACAAGGTTGTCGGGGGTGAGGGCGATGCGTCATCCACCATTGTCATGAGCACGGGAGTCATTGGGCAGAGGCTCCCTATTGCCAAGATCGTCGACAACGTCCCCGCTGCACAAGAGGCTCTGGGCTCTTCTCACAAGCACTGGCTGAGCTTTGCTACCGCCATCTGTACTACCGATACGTTCCCGAAACTGATGTCCAAGACCTTCACACTGCCCTCGTCACCGAACGTCGAATATCGCATTGCTGGCACCACCAAAGGCGCTGGCATGATCCACCCCAACATGGCCACGCTCCTTGGTGTCGTCGCTACCGACGCCCCCATCTCACCTGCGGTTATGCCCTCGGTTCTCAAGCATGCTGTCGACCGATCTTTCAATAGCATCACCATTGATGGAGATACCTCGACCAACGACACTCTTGCTCTGCTCGCCAACGGCGCAGCCGGCGGCAAGGAGATTACATCCGAGGATTCGCCTGATTATGCCGCCTTCAAGGACGTTCTTACTGATTTCTCCATCGACCTGGCCAAACTGATTGTTCGCGACGGCGAAGGCGCCACTAAGTTCGTCACCATCCGCGTTGTCGAGTCTGCCAGCGAGGAGGCTGCACGGAAGATTGCCAGCACCATTGCCAGATCGCCTCTCGTCAAGACGGCACTGTACGGTAGGGACGCCAACTGGGGTCGCATTCTGTGCGCAACTGGTTACTCCTTGGTGTCCGAGCCCGGCCAGGCTGTCAGCGAGGTCCCGGAGGTCGTCCCTGAGCAGACCAGCGTATCTTTCGTGCCTACGGATGGCACCTCTGAGCTGAAGCTGCTGGTCAACGGCGAGCCCGAGATGGTTGATGAGGCTAGAGCTTCCGAGATTCTGGAGCTCGAGGACCTGGAGATCCTTGTGAGGCTAGGCACTGGTGACAAGGAGGCCACGTACTGGACTTGCGACTACAGTCACGAGTATATTACGATCAACGGTGACTACCGCACGTAAATAGAGCGTCAAAAGATAGGGAGCTTGGGAAAATAGAACAAGGCTAGAGTGGTGTGGGCATTTTCCATCTTATATATGCATAGTCGCAAGGTGCCAAATAAAATAGAGTGAAGAAAGACTATTGGGAGCAAATCAATGGAGTTGTGTAATTTCGTTCGCATCGAATCTGGGTCGACAGTGGTGAATTCGGTATCATTCCCGGAAATCAAGAAATCAGCAACCGGAAACCAATTACCCCAGACCTTAACGCCGCGCCGAGGCGTCGGAGTGGGCTGCGGGCACTTCTATTGGAGGGGCTCCCCGCATGAAGCAGGTGAGGCACCAGAGTGGCACCACTCTGCTTTGCTACGGATGTAGTTATGGGCGTAGGTAACAGCATTGCCGCAGAAGAAAAACAGTTGGTTGACACATGAGGTCAGTGACATGGGAACAGAGCATTTTTTCGTTAAGCTTCTCGTTGGGAAAGAAAAAAAAAAGGTTACTGCAGGTGATTCTTGCTGGTATGAACGTAGCAGACTGAATGCCTTGTGAAGAACTCAGTAAAGCGATGTCTACCAGTAAATAAATGGGAAGGGCAGTGTCTATGCGGCTGGACCCCGTTCCAAGACGCGGAGGCGGCTACCCCAGGAATCCCCACCTTCGAGGTCCCTGTAGCTCCAGAATGGACCTCGGCTCCGGCTCATCTCATCATCCATCTACCGTACGATGAGACCAAACACTCCTCTTTCAAAAGGGAGTAGAGATCCATACCATTGACCTTGTCCTCATTTCCTACACCTCCAGACTCTCCGAAGTACCGTGCAACCCGCCCACCTTTGAGACGACTTGCACCATCCATTTACCTCTGCTCCAGAGTCCCAATATGACGTCCAGAGTCCCCGCTATCGTAAGTCGCCAGTGCGCGGGAGGGGGGTCGAGTTATGTGCAAGGCTAAATTCGGTTGTCATCAGGTACTGGATCGCCTTAGCGATCGCGCAAAGGAGGCGCTCGATCTCGTTGCCAAGTTCGTCGAGGAGGAGTGCATCCCGTAAGAAGCAATTGGATCTTCATTATCCTGCATCGCGGCTAACAGGCTGCGTACCCAGCGCCGACCCTATTGTGGAAGCCCAGATCGGCCAAGGCGACGAGAGATGGAGCCAGCACCCGGCAATTATTGAGGATCTCAAGGCCAAGGCCAGGAAGCTCGGTCTCTGGAACATGTTCCTGCCCAAGGGCCATTACAAGGAGTCACCCGGCTTCACGAACCTCGAGTATGGCCTCATGGCGGAGTGGCTCGGCAAGTCGAGAGTCGCCTCCGAGGCCGTTAACTGCGCAGCGCCCGATACCGGCAACATGGAGGTTCTCGCCAAGTACGGAAACGACGAGCAGAAGAACAAGTGGCTCAAGCCTTTGATGGAGGGCCAGATCCGCTCTGCCTTCCTGATGACAGAGCCTGACGTCGCCTCTTCGGACGCGACCAACATCCAGCTCAGCATACGGAAGGAGGGCAACGAGTACGTTCTCAACGGCTCGGTATGTGTCAGTTCCTTCCTGCAATCGAGGCCTCTTTGCTAACAGCAGCAGAAATGGTGGTCCAGTGGTGCTGGCGACCACCGGTGCTCGGTTTACATCGTCATGGGCAAGAGTGACCCCAACAACAAGGACCCTTACAGACAACAATCCGTGATTCTTGTCCCCGCGGGCACTAAGGGCATTACAATCCACCGCATGCTGCAAGTTTACGGCTACGACGATGCGCCCCACGGCCACGGCCACATCACCTTCAAGGACGTCCGTGTACCCGCCAGCAATCTCGTCCTCGGCGAAGGCCGCGGCTTTGAGATTATCCAGGGCAGACTCGGTCCCGGCCGCATTCACCACGCCATGCGGACCATTGGAGCGGTAAGCGCAAACTTGGCGTATTTCTAAGGGTTGACTGGCAACATTCTAACGTGTATCTCCTCAGGCCGAGCGCGCCCTCGAATGGATGCTGATGCGCATCAACGACCCCGCCAAGACGCCCTTCGGCAAGCAGCTGCGGGAGCACGGCGTTATTCTCGAATGGGTGGCCAAGTCCCGTATCGAGATCGACGCCGCTCGTCTTGTCGTTCTCAACGCCGCCATCCGGATGGACGACCTCGGCCCCAAGAAGGCCCTTAAGGAGATCGCCGAGGCCAAGGTTCTCGTTCCGCAGACGGCCCTGACGGTCATCGACCGCGCCATCCAGTCCTTTGGCGCGGCCGGTGTTTGCCAGGACACGCCGCTCGCGAGCATGTGGGCCAACATCCGGACGCTGCGGCTTGCTGACGGCCCCGATGAGGTGCACCTGCAGCAGCTCGGCAGGAACGAGAACAAGAGGGGCAAGGAAGTTACGGATAAGATCCAGTGGCAGAAGCAAAAGACGGAGCAGCTGATGGCCCAGTACAAGACCAAGACAACGCAGCCAGGGGCCAACATTAACCGGTCCAAGTTGTGAGTTGCGTCAGCGGTTGTCTTCCGCAGTTGAATAAAATCGGGTGTAAAATATCAGTCAGAAATGTCGCTGCGAGTTGTCGTCCGGGGATGTACGCCAGAATGAAAAGAGATTTTTCAACGGTTGGCCTGCCGCCTCCATTCCATCTGACTCACATTTGGGGCCATTGTCTGGCCATGTGTAATGCGAGCCGGGAACTCGGCAGCATCCCGGATGGAGACCGCGAGAGAGAGGCAGAGACAGACCCCGGATAGGTAGTCAAGCTCCGGGGCAGCGTGGTAAAGGTAACCTTGAAGATGGCCTCCCGTAAGACTCAGAACAATTTATGCACGCCAACATTGACTGGTCTCGGTACGACCACATATGCGACCTCTCCCCAGTGATCGACAATCTGCGGTCCCTCCGGCTAGAGAGAGATGGAGAGGGCCAAAGCCACTCCACAGGCCGGACCAGAGCACAACATTCAGACAAACACCTGTCTGCGGCTAAGATGCATGGCAGGGAACGATAGGTAGCAACATAAGGTCCGGGATGCCGGTTGCCCAGGAAGTCCGCTAAGACAGAGCTAGAAGGACGAGGGGGAACCTGACATGACAGCACTTCCCCCATCACACGGACGACGACGACGACGCCTACCCAGGGCTAACAAGGCCCGTTGTTTGTCTTCCGGCAGGGCAGGCCCCACATTCCCACCAACGAACTTCCCTCCTCACCACCCCTGAACCCCTGCGCAGTTTCGGTTAGCCCGTTGCCCAGTCAACAACCCAGAAAATTCGTTTACTTCGACACCCAGCAACCTACGCCACCACTTCCGGCCTAAGCACCCAAGCAGACAGCCTAGAAGGTCCCCAAAAGGAGCAAAGTGCGTGCATCTTTTTCACAGTAATTCACGAACGTCATAAACACTCTACGGCAAACCCTGTGCACTGAACGTGTGTCTCTTTCGAGTACAAAGGTCCTTCCTTTCTTCTGCATTGGCCTTGATCCTTCCCTAACTATAGCCACCCACATCAATCCCATTCATCCATCCTTCTTCCATCTTACCACAGACACACACACTTTGCGCCAACTTCACACCCTACAACTACAAAATCGCATCCTCAGCAACGCTCAACATTGTGCATTTGCCTATTCACAGCAAATAAACACCGGCACCTCTACCACAACTAAACCCGCACACATCATCAGCAGATAAAGATGTCTCCCAACGTTCTCGCTGACAAGGACGTCAACGCCCCCGTCATGGTCAACGACTCACAGGCCTCCAAGGACGTTAAGAGCATGGAGTACCACCGCCAGGTCCTGCAAAACAAGATGGCCCAAGAGAAGTACGACCACAAGCTACAGACTCGTGACGCCAAGAGCAAAGCCCTAAACTTCGATGTCCTCGATAGGTCCAAAACGTATATCTCGCCTTCTGACGACATTATGAGCCCTTGTACCGCCAAGCTCAGCGCCCTGCGCAACAAGCAGGTCGGAAAGTAAGTCGAGCATCACTCTGTTGCAGCCATCTTGTAACCCACAGCTAACCTTCCTTCCTCCCACCCAGGGTCAAGCCCAAGTCCCTCTTCGCCCAGACTTCTGCCAAGAAGCTCGGAGGCGGTGACGCCCTCTTCGGTGACCGGACAACTACCCCTACCAAGAACAGCAACATCTTCTAGGCAAGAGAGCCGCATCCTTTTCTGACCAAATAAACAAAACGACAAGAAAAGCTTTCACAGCATTGGGATGGGCTCGCGGGCTGTTTTACTGGTTTTGCTTCTCTTCTCTCGAACTAGGAGATATTGAAATTGCGCCTCCACCTTAAATGACCTCTTGGTCTCTTGATTTGGGGGAGGCGGGATAGGGTTCATCGGCGTTTAACGGGTAGACCACTGTCTTACTCCAGGATAAGGGAGTTGCTGTACACCATGACATGACACGAAATGATATCAGGCCTTTCCTTTTTTTCCCCTTTTGTTCCCCTTCTACCACTTTTTTCGCTATTAGGATTCTAGGAGGAGCTATATCCATCGGCTGCCGCCGTATCGTCGGCCGGCCTGAGCAGGAAATACAAATCCTCGTTACCCTTGACCTTCGCCCGTCTTCGTTCGTTCGTTCCTTTTATGCCTTCCACGCGCTCACAATATAGACGACGTCCTCATCCGCCACCATGTGCCCGAGTCCCACCCTCTGCGGGATATGTCTGGCGCTCGCGCCCCACACGAGGGCGTACTTGAAGGTGTCTTTGAGCGTCCTGTGGATGCGGTCGCAGACGTCCTCGATCGTGCTGTTGCTCCGCACGATGAGGGCCTCGCTAAAGTCAGGGTCGTTACCCTTGCGCTTCGTGTAGATGCGGATGAGCTTGAGCTCCTCCCAACAGCGATCGACGACGTCCTGTATGCCGAGGTCGAGCTCGCAGCTCATGACGACCGTCTGTGGCTCGCGCGCGAGCTTGTCGAGGAAGTCGAGCGAGACGCTGTCGATCTTGTTGTACACGTATAGGCACTTGATATACTTACGGTGGTCCTTCATGATGACGTCGATGAGGTCGTCCACCGTCGCGTTCTCGTCGCGCACGAGCACCTCGCAGTTGAGGATCTTGTAGTCGCGCAGGATGTTGAAGACCATCTTCTCGTCCATGGCCTTTGGCGGGTTCTGGAATGTAATCTTCATGCCGCCGGCCTTTTTCGCCTTGAGGTAGATGTTTCTGCAGCGCGCGTCAGACATGGGGGGGAATGGTCTCTGGATCGCCGGACGGACGGCAACTCACGGTGGTTCTCTGTTGAGGCGGATGCCGACGGCTTCCAACTCGGCCTCGAGCAGCGCTCGCTGCTCCGCCTTCTTGGTGGCATCCAGTACCATTAGGATCAAGTCGCTCGTCTTGGCTGCCGAAATGACCTGCCTTCCTCTTCCCTTGCCTTCGGAGGCACCCTCGATGATACCGGGCAGATCGAGCAGCTGAATCTCGGCGCCGCCGTATTCCAGGACGCCCGGAATGGCTGTGAGTGTTGTAAAAGCGTACGAGGCCACCTCGGATTTCGTCCGCGTCACCTTGGATAGGAACGTCGATTTACCGACTGAGGGGAAGCCGACTAGGGCTATTCTGGCATCACCACTCTTACTGACATCGAACCCCGCTCCGCCACCGCCTCCAGCTCCTGGGCCGGGTTCGAGAAGCTGTGCTCTCAGACGCGCAAGTTTACTAGCATGTGTGAGTGTGCGGCTTAATGGGTCTGGAAGATGAATAAAACATACCCCTTGAGGAGACCCAAATGATACTCTGTAAAAAGGGGCTATTAACGGTTATTGGTCGGACACTGTGAGTTATACCACAACTTACCGGTCGCCTTGTTCTCTAGAAAACGTTAGCAACATTCCATCTTACAAAATCTCGCCGTCTGGGTCATCCTCCTGGCAGTGGCTGTTAAACATCCATGAGGGCTTATTCCAGCGGCCTTTCGGTCCCTTCATCATCCGACACATCTGGAATAGCATCACAGGATGAGGGAAAATAACTTGGTGATACAAGAGAATGCGCCTTACTCTGAGTCTTTCTCATCTCCTCCTCAATCCTAGTCGCCAACCGTCAGTCTTCGTGATCTAGGTTGGGGAAGACGGCGGTACGTACTCCTTGATCTTCTCCGTAATGTTCACCATCTTGGCGGCTTCTGAGTTCAGAGTCTCGCGACCCTGAAATCCTCTAAAAATCAAAGACTGGGCAACGGGGAAAAAAAGAGAGAGAGACAGTTACTGCTTGGTCGTTGAACGCCTCACGGGTTCATCATGGTGGGGCAGTCGAGTTCCTCCAAGGCGTGCGTAGGAAGACTGGACGGTGGCAGAATTTACCGCGGGGCTGCTGTGTCAAGCTGCAGGGGTCCCCCACTCACCGCCCTCGACCACTGAGCGTCGGCCGGGCTTGCGCCACAGCTTCTATCGCGATAACAATTTTCAAGCCTCGCCGCTGTTGGACCAGGGTTGCCGTCGCCAACGCCATCGCCTTGCTGAACAACATCCACTCTTCCCAGCTACGTCCGCAACCACCACATCGTCTTTTTTTTTCTCACGTTCCACGCACAATTGCAATCGCAATCATGTCGGACGAGGTCGCAGAAGCTCGAGCCGAGGGCGTCGATGGTGGAGAGCCGCAGGAGGAGACGGCGCTGGTCACCACCAGTAACAATGAGGTCGCCGCGCCGGCGGAGCGAAAGGTGAAGAAGATCATCCGCAAGAAGAAGAGGCCGGCGCGCCCGCAGGTCGACCCATCTTTCATCACATCCGAGCCGCCGCCGCAGACGGGCACGATCTTCAACATCTGGTACAACAAGTGGTCAGGCGGCGACCGCGAGGACAAGTACCTATCCAAGACGCACGCCAAGGGGCGCTGCAACGTCGCAAAGGACAGCGGCTACACGAGGGCCGACAAGGTCACGGGCAGCTACTTCTGTCTCTTCTTCGCCCGCGGCATATGCCCCAAGGGCCAGGACTGCGAGTACCTCCACCGCCTGCCGGGCATCCACGACATCTTCAATCCCAATGTCGACTGCTTCGGCCGAGACAAGCACTCCGACTACAGAGACGACATGGGCGGTGTCGGTAGTTTCATGAGGCAGAACCGCACCATCTACGTCGGAAGGATACACGTCACGGATGACATTGAGGAGATTGTGGCGCGTCACTTTGCGGAATGGGGTCAGATCGAGCGAAGTAAGTTCTACATGTCTATTCATGCCGAGTTTCGGAACAGGTACTAATATTTCGTCTAGTTCGCGTGCTCAACACCCGCGGCGTCGCTTTCATTACATATTCCAACGAGGCGAACGCCCAATTCGCCAAGGAGGCCATGGCGCATCAATCTCTGGACCACGAGGAGATTCTCAACGTGCGGTGGGCCACTGCCGACCCGAACCCCATGGCGCAGGCGCGCGAGGCGAGGCGAATCGAGGAGCAGGCCGCCGAGGCCGTCCGGAGGGCCCTCCCCGCAGAGTTCATTGCCGAGATCGAGGGAAAGGACCCAGAGGCGAGGAAGAGGAGGAAGATCGAGAGCAGCTACGGGCTCGAGGGCTACGAGGCGCCGGACGAGGTGCACTTTGCGCGGGGGGCGAACGCCGTGAACCCCGTCGGTAGGGAGGGCCACGTGGTAGAGTACCAGCAACCACCCATGTTGGAGAACGGCGACCAGCAGCAGTACATGGCGTTGCCGGCTCCGCAGGAGCAGTCGATCGTGTCTGGTGGCATCTTTTCCAGCAGTACTCTGGCAGCCTTAAACGCCTCCAAGGTTGCTGTAGCATCGAAACCGAAGGCTGCGGTATCTTCGGGGCCGTTAGTCGCATACGGCAGTGACGACGACGACGATTGAGTCGGGGGCGGGCGATTAATTTGTATGATAATAGAGAAAGGCGAGCATGATACCCATTCAGAATGGAAACATCGAGGGGACTGAGCAATTGGGTCAGCTGTTGAATATCCGTGAATACAGGACCTCGTGTCTGCCGATCCAGAGATCCATGACGGGCATGGTCTGCCCGGCCCTCTCAATGGGCGTGTCCCACTCCCTGTCGATGGCCGCCGTGATGAGTTGCTGAACCTGGGTGCTCGCGAGCACCTTTTGCGCTTGGTACGGTCCGAACATGCTGGCTCTTACGGCCGCTGAGATGAGTGCCTTGACGTGCCCCATCATAAAGATGTAGGCCGTCTGCTGCAAGCTGAGCCCCACCAGGTTCGAGACGGCGCCAAAGAGGGGAGCCAAGTGAGCAAACACCAAAGGCGGCTCCGCCGAGTCGTCCGCGGTCGAAGAGACCCGGGACGAGGTGGCGGCCTTCAGCATCGCCACGTACGGCTGCAAGGTCGCGACGACATGGGCCGGGAGGGACGTCGCGAAGGAGCGCTCCCAGATGGAGAGGAGGGCACGGCCTTGGGCTATCGAGGCGCGGCGGCCGACGGTGCAGATGATGGCCGCATCGAGGTGGTCGTCCAGTTCGGCGAGAGCGTTTGGGTCGCGGTGCGCCGCGACGACGAACGGCAGGGTCGTCGAGGCGTAGGCCGAAATGGACTCAGGGAGGAAGACGTTAAAGGACGAGCGGCCCCTGGTGTGCGCCAGATACGATTCGAGACCGCTGCTGAAGGCGAACGATCCCAGAGGCAGGGCCGAGTCTGACAGTAAGAGAAGGTAGTGATTCGATAGAGTCAGCGACACTATAGGGTGTTAGTGTGGGTGAACTCCGAGACATTGACATGAGGACGTCGCACATGAAGGCTTCGGGAGGCCTCGAAATGACAACGATTCGCAAGACTCTAGGGCTTCCCCTTTGAGACTCTTCAGTTTCCCCCTGGCAGCCTCGAGGCGCGCCTCCAACTCCAAGACCTCCTTCTCGGCGTCATCAACGGATCCGTCCCTGGCATTTGAGTCCATCGGAAGACCTGAGAGAATTAGACGCCGTGTTGCAGTTGATAAGGTTCCGATAGCGGGAGATGGACCCTGCAGAATCGGGGGGGAGTGGCCGTTCAGTGGGCTGCATCGAGCCTAGGGCGGGAGCTTGGGGTGGGGGGGGGTGCTCTTGACGGTCACGTACCCACCAAGAATGGGCGCGCTGGGGAGCTGCTGGGATGTTGTTCGGCGTCTGTTCGTCCCACTAGCCCATGCCATCTTGCTCCCCTCGGCGATTGATGTAGTAAAAGACCTGTAGGAGCGGAATCGAACGATTTTAGCAACCAAAGCCGAGAAACATCCGGAGTGAGTTTGCATAGCATTTTTATTCACATCCCGCAAACATCCCACAATATACAAAGACGCATCATAGTCTGTTTGATTCCGTCCACCGAACCGACGTCATCGTCTCCGCCAAAGACCGCGAAGCGACCGCCCCGGCCGGTGATGCCCGCAAGATGAAGTCGTACGACCAGATGAAGAGCGCCGAGGCCAATGAGGCCGCGTGGGAGGCCACCCGGGGCGCCGTCGTCGGCGCCGCTAGATGGGGTGCCGGGGCCGCCGTCCTGGGAGCCTTTGCGTGGAAGTTCTCACCACTGTACAAGGGCCTCACCATCCAGTTCAAGATGTAATTGTGTCGCGCGACACCCCTCATGGACCCGAAGAAGATGCGCTGACAGCGGCACAGGTACATGCAAATGTCCGCCATGGTGCTGGGAAGCATGCTTGAGGCGGACAGCAGACTGCGGGAGTACGAGGCCAAGGTCAGGATACAGAAGCGCATCCTGAGGGACAGGGCCAAGTGGGAGAGGTTTGAGCAGGAGTTTCTCGAAAACCCGACGAATGAGGAGAAGAAATGAAAGGCCGCGACCTGTACGACGACCGCCAACAAATGGATGAGACTGGAATTCTCACAAAAGTTTACCTGAACCTGTATTCTTATTATTGTATAACACCGGACATTCAAATCCTTGGCTTTCTAGCTACACAGAAAAGGTGCCGCAGACCTGATTTCCCCCCAACGCCGGATCATGCAAGTCATTATGTCCCGCCATAGGCAGGTTTTATCGGCAACCGCTCTCATTTTGAGGGCACTTCAAACTTCTTCGGGTCCATGTTGATCTTGCAGAGCCTCGCGACGCAGCCGCTCAGCTGCAGCAGTGTTTGCACGCCCTCCAATATCTTCATGTGTGTGAAGCCAATCTCCTTGATAAACTCCAGCTTCGAGTGCTCGCTCAGCGTAGGGATTGTCTTTGTGACTTTGAACATGGTGCTGATGATGTCGTGGCTCGAGTATCCCAGGTCCCAGAGCTCGCGGAGGCTGTCGAGTGCCGAGTCGATGTTGCCCTCGTAGCAGGCCTTGAGCATGGCCTGGACCTTGATGGGGTGGGGCGAGTCCACCACCTTGAAGACGTTGTCGCCCGACACGAAGCCGAAACCGGCAAACGTTGACTGCAGGTTGTTGATGGCCTGCCGCATGTCGCCTTCGGCGCTGAAAACAAGCGCAGCCAGGCCATCGTCACTGTATTCCACCTTTTCCGCCTCGATAATCTGCAGCAACCGCTTGACCACCTGCTCGTCGGTGAGCCGGGCATACCGGAGGATGGCGCATCGCGACTGTAGCGGCTCAATAATCTTGTTGGACTGGTTGCAGGCGAAGGCGAAGCGCGTCGTGTTGGAGTAGATCTCCATCGTTCGGCGAAGGGCTTGCTGGGCACCTGATGTCATGCTGTCGGCCTCGTCGAGAATCACAAGCTTGTGGCGGCCCTGGGGCAAGGTGACCTTCTTCTGGGCGAAACCCTTGATGCGATTACGGACGACGTCGATTCCTGCGCTCCATTGTCAGTGCCGAGCCATAAGTGAAACGCTACTGCCTCCGTACCTCTCTCATCACTGGCATTGAGTTCAAGGACGGCCTCCTTGTATGAGTCTCCAAGAAGCTGTCTCGCCAAGCAGAGCACACTGGTAGTCTTTCCGATACCAGGCATGCCAGAGATGATGACGTGCGGCATGTTCCCCTCCTTCGCAATGATCTTCAACCGATCAATCGTCTCGGTGTTTCCGACAACATCGTCAAGGAATACGGGGCGGTACTTTTCAACCCTGCGAAGGGCATTAGGAATCGGCTTCAAGACACTCAACGGGCTTGCGAGACCTACCAAGGCAGCTCGTAGTTCGGAACACCGTTCGAAGCCGCCGTCAGAGCCTTCTTTGCTGCAGATGTCGAGGACTCGCCAGCCTCCTCCGGCTTTGTGATTGGCTTCTGTGCAGGCATGGTAGCTATTGACTGTCGTTTGGGGGTTGCGGACAGCAGAAAGACAGGCAGGTTGTCAGAGTTCTGTGCAGAGTGGACAAAGGCACTTTACGCGATGATTGACGAAAAGTCGCGTCGGGGAAAAGACGCGCGCTAGACTTGGACGGCATCCACACTGTACGTACCCCATCCATACGCCGACGATCCTTGTATCCTCACGCGCTCATCCAACTTCCTTGTTCGAAAGAAAAGACGGATAGAGTCATGGGCATTGTAATCACAACGACTTTTCATGGCAGTCAAAGCAACCGTATCGGCACTCCTTGGCGCAATTCTTTTGTTGCATTTCAAATAAACAAAGGTATCTAGTCGTCATCCTCGTTGGCCGGTTTCTTGGCCTTCCTGCTCTTCGCACCTCCCTTAAAGTGCTTCTTTCCTGACGATAGCTTCACATCCTTGGGGTCGACGCCATTCTCCAGAGCAATCATCGCCCGCGCCTTTCTTCCACTCAAGTGCTTCTGGCCCCGCTCCGAGTACTTGTGAGCAAACGGCATCTTGAGATGCCCGGTTCCAGTGCCGTCAGGGCCAAAGAAACCCTTGTCAATCTTCTTGGATTTCGGGCCAGCCGGGAGAAGTGTCAGATCGGAAGGGGCTATTGAGATATCATCGCCCACGAGCGACATGGTGTCGAGAGACGCATTGACTGCTTGGCGTCTCTTCTCGGGAAGATGACTTGCATCGTAGAGCTCCTGGTTGAACTCGGGACCATCGACGGTTCCAGGTGGCGGCTCGCAGTAAAGGAGCTTACCGTTCACATAGTCTTTGAGGATATAACGAGAAGCTCTCGACTCGTCAGGCTGGCCCAATCCCTGGGTCGTGAAGCCTCTGGCTTTGGCATAGGCGGAAAGCAGCTCCGCCGCAGAAGGGATTCCAGTGCCTCCTTCCTCGAGGGCGCGGGTCTTGATGTGGATTCCGTAGACCGCCTCTAGGAAAGGCTTTGGGATTCTGCGCGCGACGAGGCCGGCAGGCCCTTGAAACTCTCGTAGCTGATCGATGGGTAAGACACCGTTACAGACCAGATCGGCCTTGGTGCTAGCAAAGTTGGGGAAGACCAGACCAGGACAATCACATAGGATGACGTCCTCGCTAAGGTGAATGGTCTGGAAGTGCTTCGTCTTTCCTGGTGTTGATGAAACAGACACCTTCTTGGCGCCAATCAAGGCGTTGATGGTGGACGACTTTCCGACGTTGGGATATCCGACAAGACCGATCTGCAGCTTGTGGCCTGGCTCTGGAGAAGCGCCGTTAGTTTCCAACATGGGAGTTCGGTTTGAATCCTTTCTCGACATACCTGCATTCTCAGGAGCGTGGCTGAGGAAAATTCCCTCCAGCTCCTCCACTGTCAAGATCCGGGTGTCCTCATCGTCAACCTCGGCTGCTGCTTCCTGTTGTGACGCACCCGCACCGCCCTCTTGTTGATCCTCCTCTTCCTCTGAGCGCTCCTCTTCGGCGGCATCATCACTGCTTTCCTCGTCAGAGGCAGTGTTTGTTGGTGGAGGTTGAGAGCTGCCGCTGGCCTCCGGTTCCTCTGAGTCAGAATCCTCCTCCTCTTCCAGCATCTCCAGCATCTCCTTTGCAAGACTTGCGGAGAAGAACCTGTAAGCAATGCCGTTCTCCTTCAGGTACTTGGCCCACATCTTGCGCTGGTTCAACGTAAGCATGTCGGCTTTGTTGATGAGCAGCAGGTTCTCCTTCTTGGGGTCGATGTCCTTGACGTAGTTCTCCAAGTCCTCGGATCTGAACAGCAAGGGGTTTCGAGCGTCGACAATCTGGACCACGAGATCTGATCTTTCAATGACACGCCACAACTGCCTCCAAACCTCGAGGTTTCGCTCGAAAGGGGTCATCAGAAGATCGTTGTTTTCTTGGAGTTCCGCCAGACCTCTGCGCCAGTCCAAGAAGCTATCCCTCTCCTTCCTATCCAGCTCCTCTGGGGTGGTAGACGCATCCCATTTCGGCCTTCTCGGCACCGTCAAGCGTCCCTTGTGATCCTTCTGTTTGGCGAGGACGCCCCTCTCCTCCGCTCCTGACAGCAAATACGGGTTCTTCTGGTCGGTGTGGATGATCTTGATGTTGTTCATCTTCTCAGCAGTGAAGTCCGTGCCCGCAAGCTCTGCTGTTGCAAGAAACTCGTCGAGGGCGCCCTGCTCGGTGACCGATCGCATCTTGACCCATGATGCCTCTTGTCGCTCATTCGTGAGGTACTAATAAAGTGTGAGTATTTTTCCGATTCATAGTAGTGGTGCAATCTCTTGGCTACCTCTTCTCCCGTAGCATGGTTTACTCTGGTGATGGCCGAGGTCTTCTTCCTGTCGTTACCGCGGTTCTTACCGAAGCGATCGTTCATCAGGGCATTGCCGAGCCCGGCGGTCTTCTTGGATTTGGCGTGCACCATTTTCGCGGTGTTATCTTGTCTCACACAGCCTAAGAAATACGAAGAAATGGGTTGGAGAGAAAAATACTCGCCAGAACCGCTTTGTGAATGAGTAATAAGTGGGAGCCCGTCGCAACCGCCCGCCTTGAAGAGAATGGCAGTGCCCCGCGACGATTAATCAGCGGGGCAAATGTCCCCCGCCGCAAACCCTTCTACGCTTTTTTTTTACCTTTTCGCATACGCCAACGTTTTCAGCATCTTTGGGTACTTATCGATAAGATAATCCGGGTGCCAATATCCCCCACCAACTTTTTTTTTCGACGCCACTACCTAACCTTGGACTGAGGAGGAGACTCACGTACGTCCCACTCTGATTCTCTTCAGCGCCCTTCATTCAGATACCCCAACAGACCGGTCTCGGCCTCGAAACTTGCGTAATCAGTCACCATGGCGAAGGGAAAGAGATTGTAAGGTTATTCTGGTTTCTTAGATACGCTTTAACTGACAAAACGACAGCGACAAGAAGAATGCGCAGCATTTCACTCTCGTCCACCGACCGCAAAATGACCCGCTCATCCACGACGAAAATGCGCCTTCCATGGTGCTCAACCCCGTGCCTCAGAAGGGAGGATCCTCAAAAGGAAAACACCTGAGCGATCTTGCATCAGAGCTTGGCTCAGATGCCATGAGCATACGGGAGAACGAAGGAGAGGCAGCAGAGTACGGCGTTTACTACGACGATACCCAGTACGATTACATGCAGCATCTCCGCGACCTGAACTCTGGAGGCGGCGAGGCTGTGTGGGTTGAGGCTCCTACGGCTACGACTAAGGACAAGGGCAAGGGCAAGCAGGCGTCGCTCGAAGACGCTTTGCGCCAAATGGACTTGGAACATAAGAGCGAGGCTTTGCTGGATGAATCGGTCCTTCCCAACAAGAACCTGCAGCGAGCAACCTACCAAAACCAGCAAGATATCCCAGACGCCATTGCTGGCTTCCAGCCCGACATGGATCCCCGATTGCGTGAGGTTCTGGAGGCGTTGGAGGACGAAGCATACGTGGACGAGGACGACGATATTTTCCAAGAGCTCTCCAAGGATGCGCATGAGATCGACCAATACGAATTTGAAGATCAGTTCAACTATGACGACGAGGACGAGGGTTGGGAGTCGGATGGCACCGCAAAGCCAAGCAAGGAGTACAAGGACGGAATGGTGCCGCAGCTGATTCCTGTTGAAGGTGAGGCGTTGCCAGAGCACCAGAACGAGGACTGGTTGGAAGACTTCAAACAATTCAAAAAGGATCAGAAGGGTGGGAAGGCCCCGGAAAAGGCTCCCCCGTCTGAGCTGCAGTCATCCATCTGGACCACGACAACAATGGGTGGTCGGAAAAAGAAAAGAAAGGGAGCTCTTACCAACCCCTCCGCTTACTCTATGACCTCGTCATCGATGGTCAGGACAGAGCAGCTCACTCTCTTGGATGCCAGGTTCGACAAGATTGAGGAGGAGTACACAAGCGAAATGGGCGATGACATGGCCTCCGTCTCAGAGGTCTCAACGGCGACCAGTGTGACAGGGCCTACACGAGGCGACTTTGATAGCATCATGGATGACTTTTTGGGAAGCTACACGAAACCCGGAAAGCGCACAAACAAGAAGACCAGGCCTCAGACGGGTCTCGAGCAGCTTGACGAAATCAGGAAGGGACTGGGTCCGGCTCGCCTGCGGCCCAAGGATTACAGGGTCTAGATTCCAGTCATCGAGATACCCTCATTTGGCGCCAGACTTATCGCAAGATGTGCGCTTTGAAATGCTATAATGAACAAAATGATGGTTAATGATGTTTCATCTGCAAGACCCTATGTTTTACAATGATTCCCAAGCACTGTGATTGGTTGATTACATAGACACCATTAGATTAGTTATTCCCGCAGATACCGTGTAGCAATTAGGATTGGATGACCCAAGTGAATGCATCGTAGAACGAATTGATTAGACTCACTCAAAGCCTTCACTCAAGGTGTTCCTACATCGATCGCTCTATTCGCACACCCAAGTTTGGCAAGAAATTGTATGTGGGGCAAATAGCCGCTTAGGCGTCTGCGCTAGAGCTAAGCGCGACAAAAAAAAAAGAATACGCGACAAACGCAGACCAGCTCCATCCTACCTTCCTTTAGTTCTCCACTTCCATTATTGTATGCCTCGCCGATTCCCATCTTGGAGTTTCCTTTTGCGACTCCGACATGACGTCGGTCTCTCTCCCGCCTAACAGACCTGACAGGACACCATCTTCATTCGCGACATCATCATCGGGCGGCTTCGGAGGCCATTCTGACGCGGGCCATCACAGTCTCAACTTCGATGGAGTTGGCGGTGGCAGTGGGAAGCGGTTGAAGCGCAACCTGACGAACCAGCCTTTCGAAATGACGACTCTCGCAACGAAACGGAAGGGCGTCAACCCATTCGACGGCGCAAGCTCAGACGACAATCGCCGGAAGAAAAACACAAAGAATAGCTCACAAGGCGACTGGAAGAAGAAGTCCCCCCAGCCGCAAGGCGCGAAGCCGAATGGCGCGAAGAAGGGCTTGAAAGGGTTCGGGTCCACGCAGTCGCGCGGCGGTTTCGGCACTCAAAACAACAACAAGACTCATACACAGGGCGCATATTCTACCGACTACGAAACGGACGATGCGACCAGCAACGCGGTCGGCGATGGTACGCCGTACTCCGACAGGATATTTTCCCAGCTTCGAAAGGATGCAATCGCGCCGCCAAGATGGCCTTCTGATCCGGGAAACACGACCTCGAAGGCTGCCATGGCCAAGTTCAGAGAGGAATACAAGGCATATCGCGACCGCGCCAGATCTTCTCTGATGCGCGCCGGCTTGATTGACGATCCGGACAAACCTAAACGCCTGGAGGACGCGATCGATTTCAAAGGCATCTGCGACGCGATGTGCCCAGACTTCGAAAAAATCACCCGCATTACCGAGTTCGACGTTCAGTCCGCCGAGAAAGATCCCCAGACGACTTTCGCCATCACCTCGAAGATGGTCAAGAAGCTGGCCAGGTCCGCAGCTGGCCAGGAGGCACCTCTACCCATGGATGTCAGATCTACCGCAGCGCTCAGAAAAACGCTCGATTACCTCATCAACGATCTATTACAAACAGATGAAAATCTGCCCTCCCTACACGGCTTTCTATGGGATAGGACACGAGCGATTCGTAGAGACTTTATTTTTCATTCGTCCATGTCCCCCGAGGAGATGAAGGACCAAGTTTACTGCCTCGAGACAATCGCCAGGTTTCACGTCACGTCTCTACATCTTCTTTCCCAGGAAGGATTCGCACCAGAAGACTTCTCCGAACAACAGGAAATCGAACAGCTTGGGAAGTCATTACTTTCGCTTATGTTTGCATACGATGACTGCAAACCCCAGGGCGTCGTTTGTGAACACGAGGCCGAGTTCAGAGCGTACCATTTGCTCTTCAGTGCGAACAAGCCCAATATACTCGACGATGTGCAAAAGGAGTGGGGAGACTCTCGTTTCTGGACCGAATCCGACGAAATCAGGACAGCTGTTTCACTTGTCGAGAGTCTGCAAAGTGCCGAGGATTTTCACGGTCCATTGGGCTCCGGGCCATCTATGGCGGTATCCGGCGCACATCGCACCTATTTCCGAATCCTCGAAAGCAAACAAGTGTCTTACACGATGGCTTGCTTTGCAGAGATTCATCTTGGTCAACTGCGTCGCTCAGTTCTGCGCTCCCTGAAGAAGGCGTACACAAGACCCCGGCACGGGGCAAAAGATATCACGCCTTCTACACTCAACCGCTTTCTTCGCTTCGACACAGAAGCTCAGGCAATTGATTTTGTCGATCAGCATGGTCTCAGCTTTTCAGATGGACAAGGACCATCGGGCGAACCCGTCCGATACCTCGACACTTCGCAACGTCTAACATGGCCAAGAATCCACCACAGTTTCTCCCATCAACTTGTAGAAAGGAAAAGAGGGCATCACGGTCTTCCTGATGTCATTCACAGCACTATTCCCGACCAGTCCACACAAACCGCACAAGCGACCTCAGGGCGTGGCTTTGGCACAAATGCTGCATCGCCCAGGCCACCGCAACAGCATCCCACGTTTGGCAGCAACTCGACGGCCAAGTCAAACAGCCCATTCTCTTCTCCTTTCTCGGCTCCTCAAGGGGCCGTGTCGACAGGATTCGGAGTAACGCCATCTTTCGGCAAAGGTAAAGAAACTTCCACGCACTACCCATACCGCTGCCACCTTGTGTCTTTCAACTCCCCTTTCGACTTCAAAAAACTGTGGCCAAGCGCAATACCCTCCAATCGCCGCCAAGTATCTCTTTTCCTTCAATCTCAGAGATTGCTCTATTGGAACAGATGTCATCGCAAGCAGTCAACACATCTGGCCCAGCAGCGAATATTTTGATGAGCAAGAGCTCAAAACACACTCGAACTGGACGATCTGGCTAGCGAATCAATGCCTTCGGCAAAAGTTGATGAAGATGGTAGGGATGGTCGAACGGAACCTCCGCTAACTTTGTGTCTCACAGCAACAGAAGGCTCAAAGCCTGGTTCAACGGGCTCAGGCCCGTTTGCAAACCCCTTTACTGCCGCGAATTCCTCTCTTACAACTGCAACGCCATTTCAGCAGGCGGACCAAGGCTTGCCGCCAACAGCACCGCCTGCTGTTAATCCGTTTTCTGGCAAGCCAAGCCCATTCGCCAAGCCGGAAGCAGCACTAGAGAAAGCAACGGCACCCAGTAACCCCTTTACGGGAGCGGCTCAACCTAATGGTTTTGCCAAACCTGCGCAATCCGCTCTTCCATCATTTCCTGCTTCATCGTTTGGGGCCAGCACGCATCAAAAGGCACAGGAAACCACACAAACAAAGCCAGCAGCACAGGCCGGTAGCGGTTTCTCTCCCTCTATCAGCGTCACTCCTCCGACACCACAGTTCCCGCCGTCAGCTGTAGGTGCTGCCTCGAAATCATCCAGTCCATTCAATTTCCTGGCAAGCGCCGGCACATCGCCCGCGACGCCGGCCTTTTCTTCTTCGGGTCCTTCTCAGCAGACACCGAAGCCGGTCGAGGTACAGCCTCCGTCGTCATCAACAGGAGCGTCATTTTTTACTCAATCGGCTGAGCCTGTGGAAAGCCCCAAACCACAGCCCACGCAGTCACCAAGCCCATTTGCTACTGCTGTACCTGCGGCGGAGACCTCTCAGAAGCTCCCGAGCTCAGGCACACCGTCTTCTCAGTCTCCCCTACCGAAATTTTCATTGCAAGCAAGCAATGCTTTCTCAACCACCACGCCGGCACCGCAAAGTCAACCAAGTTTCTCACTCGGCGCTGCCCAACTGGAAGAAACAACCTCGCAACCTGGGCAAGTTGCGCCCCCCAAGCTCCCAGTCGAAGAACGACGGTCAAACAAGGATGTCATGGCGGACTTTGCAAAGTGGTTTGTTACGGGCGACAACGGGTTGATGCAAGAGTTCGAGAAATTCGTCGTTGAGCAAATCGTTGCGGATACCTTTACAAAGTATCACAAAGAAGAAGAAGAAAGAAAACGAAAAGAGGAGGAAGCAAGGGACCTGGCAGAAGCACGGAAGTTCCAAGTTTACAACCTCTCCGTCAAGTACTTCTATCGCTGGAGGGAAATCGCCCGTAACCTTCGTCTAAGCAAACTGCGGCGGCAGGAGAGGGAAGAGCACCGAAGAGTTCAAAGGGAGCTGCGAGAGGAGGAGATGAAGAGAAAGAAGAAGGCGTCCATTGCGGTCGAAGCACGACGAAAAGCCCTGGAGAGGCACGGGGTTGATCCTGTAGAGGAGTTCAGGGAACTGCTCTACCTCCGAAAAGACGACCCTCAGGTCGATCTGCAGGCCGAGGCAGAAGCCCTTCTCGCCACCGGTATCTTGTCGGGCGTTTCGGATGAACGAGCTGCAGTCGCGAATGTTATGCGCCCCCCCGTGAAGGTCGAGACGGCTGCAACAACACCATTGCCTCGATCGCGGTCGACGACAAGCTTGTCGCGGTCATCATCGGGACCAAAGCCCTGCGGCGCTAAGACGCGAGCTCTGAGAGAAGAATTCGGCAAAAGCAGCAATAACTTCCGCCGGTCCCTACCTCCCATGTCAGCGCACTCCTCGTCGTCGCGCATGTCATCAGAGCCTCAGAAACGCGTCAGCAAGGTGTCTGACCGTTGGCGTCTAAAGGCAATGGGACTCGTAACAATGCCTGACGGATCGGCCCTGCCAGAGGCTATCGCCAATGAGATGCGATACAACGGCAAACGTTATGAGGGTCTTGGTTCGTTCGGCCTGGACAGAAACGATACGGAGCGACGCCGGAGCGTATCCGCCGATCTCAGCCACGCCGCGGAGGCCCGCCTGCGGTTCTCGCAATCGCTGAACGGCGGCAGCACCACCCCGCAAACAAATGGAACTTCACCACTTAGCAAGAGGAAGCGGTCGTTCGAGGAGGACCACGAAGCGGCGGTTACGGATGAGGCCCGCGTCAAGAAGCGGCCGTCTAGCAACACCGACCTCGACAGGATACTGCGTGAGGCAAGGGAGAACCTGGAGTCGCTAAGAAGCTCGAGAGTCGAGCTGGACGAAGGGGCGGAATGGTTCAGGGAGCAAAACGAGATGATGCACGCCGAGGAGCTGAGCAGGGCCAGTTCGCCATGGGGCAAGGGCGGGGGGTATCGGTGAAGGCGGGGGAGGGGAGGCACGACGAGCATAAGCACAGGCGTTTCACGGGTCTATATGGTTGGGAAGGGGCGGTACGAGCAAAGTTTCTATAAGCATGTCGAATTCCTCAGGTACGAAAACACGGGCGTCACACCCATAGAAAGAGAGGTTTTTGGATTGTCCAATCTGCGCAACGGAGGCCTCTCCGAGTTCTACTTCCTGGTGATGGTGATGGTGATTGTAAAAGTTGAATGTCGCACTTCGATAACAAGACAAGCCGGGCCGCGAGATTACTCCGGACCGACGACGAATGGTAGGTAGCATGGGAAGAAAAATTGGTATTACTGATTTTGGGCATGGGCTACTCCCGAGACCCATTCTCTCCCTTTTCCCGCTCCGTCATGCAAAATGGCCCCCCCAGAACGCCCATTCGCCCGTCGCTGTCCCTACGACGACAAAAGCCATTGACACATGGAGAGAACGCTGCAGCAACAGAAAGAGGATAAACAAAAAAGGATACAAATGTAGGGGAGAGACTACCTCCTCTTGGGCGGGGGAGGGGGCGGCGGGAAGGTTGTCTGTATGGTGGACGTCTCCACTGGGCTGCCGCCCAGCGAGGTGATCCTCTTGGGCAGCGGGCGGGGGAGGTCCCTCGTGATGGAGGGGATCGTCCGCGCTGCGTCCCCAACGGGCGGCGACGGCGACGAGAACGAAAACGACAATGATGGCTCCGCTGGCGCGGCGTGCCGGGTATGCGTCGTCGTCGGCGCGGGCCAGCCGCCCTGGCTGAGCAGGGGGCTCGCGGTGGTCCCTGAGGTCGGCGAGGCGTACGTGCTCGCCGGGCTGAAGACCGCGGCGTGGCCAGTGGGCGGCGTCGGGGAGCCGTGCTCTGAGGGGACGTACTGCCTGAAGGGCAGCAGGGGCGCCGCCGAGGTCGTGGACGTCGGAGTGGCGTAGTAATCGTCCTGTGGAGAGGACGAGTTGAAGCGCGGGGAATGAGCCTTGACGGGGATGGCAGGGAGGCTGGTGGTGATGCTAGCGAGGGGAAGGATTTCCTTCTGCGTGGGTTTGCGGTCCGTGTAGGGGACCGGGGTTGCGTCGTGGAGGGAGGAGATGGAGTTGTGCGGCATCCAGAGGCTGGGCTTGGAGACGGGGCTCGAAGCCATGTCCTGCTTCTGCTGTTGGTTCTGGGCTTCGTGATGGTGCCGGAGCTTCTCGCCGTGCATGTCCTCCTCCTCGACGGAGAAGAAGTTGGGCGTCTTGGGTGTGAGGTGGGTCTGGCACCGGAAGGAAAGCGAGGAGACCGGGCGGTGGCCCTTGGCGCGGCGGAAGAGGTCCGGGTTGATGCCGCGGCCCTCTCTGCGCGCCTTGCGCTTGCGCCATTGAATGAAGGTGCAGCCGGCCACGAAGAGGAAGGTGACGACGGCGCCAATGACGATGCCGACGATGGCGGTCATGGGGAGGGCGGGCGTTGCATCCTTGGCGAGCTTTGCCGCGTCCTTGGGGTCAGCGGCCGTGATGGTTCCTTTCGTGAAGACGGTGCTGTTGAGACTAACGAGCGTTCCCGGGTCCGGCCTTTGCCGACATCCCGCCTCGAGTGCGATGAGGTCTGAGAGATAGGTTAGAGAGCGGTCACGGGGTTCTTGGAAGAGGGCGTCGCTTACAGTTGGCGAGGTAGTAGTGCTCACCACCCGCTCTGACGCAGGACAGGCACTTATCGTATGCCGAGCCGAGCATGGCGCCGCCGTCCGCGTCACAGTATGAGTACTGCGATGACTTTTCTGGGTCCAGCTCGCCGTCTGTGAGAGCCTTCTCCAAAGCTCCGCATGCGGTGGACGTCGTGCAAGGGCTGGAGCCGACGCCGGTGGCATTGGGATACCCAAAGATGCAGTAGTCAAAGGAGTACCTCATGTTGTCTGGTGGGGTTTGTTAGCACGAGATTTTGAGATACGGCTTCGGTCTCCGAACTTACACAGAAACCAATCTTGGTCGTTCTCGGTCCCCTGGACAAGCGAGCTGTCCTGGAGACAGCTCATGCATTGCTGGAACTTCTGGCCCGCAGCCCCAGTCTGATATTCGCCATCTGTACACGTGATGTCCTTGCCCTTGGTGTTGGACGAGTTGGGATCCGAGATGTCGAGGCCGTTGGAGTCGAGGCAGAAAGAGGCACACGGCGAATTCGGCGTGACCTGCAACGCTGAGACGTACGCCGGCACGACTATGGTGAGAAGGACTAGGGCGGAGCGAGCGGTCATTGCGAGATCTTGGGCGAGCTGGTATTAGGCAACGAATGTCGATGGAAGAGAAAGCAGAACAAGACTCCAGAGCCTTGTCTACTGTGAGATTAGAACGGATAAATAGTCCAAAACAATAATACTAGGTATCGCGCAGTGCAAGGCAAAAAGACTCGAAACAATATCACAATAAGACGGAACAACCCCAGAAAGATAATCTCGAGGGATGTCCAAGGTTCACAACTATATTATAGTCGGCCGCGTGTGTTGATCACACGTCCATAGTTGACTCGAAGGGGGAGGGATATGCAGCTGCAGGAACATATGGTAAGGTGATGGGCATGGGGGCCGCCTGCAGGCTACAAGGGCCCATGGGCGCGATCCCGACAGATGGGGAAAAGCAGGCCGCGACAAACGCAGCCAGCCAGACGGAGGAGAAGGGAAAGCGATATCCCAAGCCGGGGTTGGGGGCCCCGTCGACCTGCCGCCAACCCGTTCAACAACGATACGAGGTGGGTGTCGACATCGGCAGAGGGTGTGGTGATGTCGGCCTCGGGGGCAGCCAATGAGCGACCGGTTCTGGGTCCCCAGCGGGAAAGGAACAGCCAGCGACGAGGAGATTAAGCCTTGGACCATCTCGCATTCGAAAAGCGCGCTCCGCGCAGACCATAGGCGCCGTTTGCGGACGTGACTGATGTGTGCTTCCCGAAGGTCGACGAGCAACATTGTCAGGTTAGCAGAGCAAAGCAGAGCAGAGCAGAGCAGGCACGGGGCAGCCCAGCGCTAACAAGTGTCAAGAGCACTTGCAGAACGGCGGCATGCGCATATTGCAACCTCTCCAGGCTTTGCCGCGATGGAGGGATATTAGCCAGCGGTTGTTGGTCGTTGGTCGTTGGCCCGACTGCATGTAGGAAGGTAGAGGCGGCATCGCAGCAGCGTTCGATAGCGTGGATTGCTCCCCTTCCCCCCCTCTTGGCGTTCTGCATCATTGTGCTTGTGCCTGGCTGTACCTGGCGTCCAGGCGCATTGTGCCAATGTCAGTGATCACGTCCGGCCGGCGGCTAGATGATGCACCTTGGGGGTGATATTGGGGGGGTGAAGAAGAGCAAGCAAGCAAGCATTGTGCCTGCCAATGGGAGCAGGGCGTTTGGAGATTGATCTGGTTGGGCACAATGGCTGGTAGTCAGCCCGGCGCTTACCTGAGCTCACGACTGCAGATGGCACCTGGTGGGTAAGTATTAAGTACCTAGGCAGGCACTATGTATCCGTAAGTGAACTAAACTAGGTACGGACAGGTACCCGTGTTTCCCACTACGGGCTAAAGTGGGACCTGCCCTGTCTGGGCCCATCACTGCTCTTTCCCTTTTATCCTTTTTTCTTTTCCTTATTCCCCCTTCCTATTTCGTCCGTTGGCCCCCCTTGCTCTTCCCGATGTGACAACCTTTCAATCACTTTTTGCCAGCCCAATCCCAGCTTATCCTCCCCTCTAAACCCTTTTTACCTTCTCCCTCTTGGGGCTCTGCAACTAGGTAATCGCTCTGCGCTTAAACCCGCCAGGGTTCCTTGCGGCATAAACTTTCTTCTCAACTTAACAACTCCCATTTATCCTCCCCCATTCTCAGAACTGGCTTTGTTGCGCCTGATCTTTTTTTTCAACACCCTGAAAGCTTATCATCAATGACGTCGGCTATATCAGCTGTCAATTGAATTTTGTTTTGTTTTTTCGTTTACTCTATTGCGACGACACGGCTTCCCTGGCATATGTGTACGTGTGTATTATGCTTATATACGCAAGGTGTGCGTGCGCGCGTGCGCGCGGTCTTCATTACTCGTGCCTTTCTCTGGGTGTTTTAAAACCAAACACCACGTTTCCCATCCATGTGTCACCCGTCCTTCGTTTCGTTCCGCTGCGATGCGAGACATTTGCCGTTGGCATCTCCATCGCAGGCCACCTTGACCTTGTTTGTCTCATGACGCGTCTGTTTTGTCGTTTGCCGCGTTTGTGTGCGTGTGTAAGTCTCATGTCCATGAATCCAAAACGCCCGCAGATGAGAAGAAACATCGCCCCCCTCCAAGCCCAGCCCAAAACCGGTTCAAACGGAAGATCCCCGCGGTGAAACTTTCGGCTGTGCGATGCGACGTGCCGCCAACAACGTCCAAACGCGTTCGCCATCTTCGCTGTGATCCAGAACGATCCCCAACAAACACACACCATGCATGCCGTACATGAAGAAAAAAACCAGGAGACTGAAAGATATTGAGAGAGAAAGAAGATAAACAAGAAGAAGAAGGAAAAAAAGTACCACAGGTCCACTGTCAACAATCATCCGGTTCTTAATTTCCGCTCAAGCTCTCCTCAGCTGACGATCACGTCCGTGCCGGTGACCGAGTAAACCGTCTGGAACATGCACCGCGACGGCGCGGCCCCGGGACAGAGGGCGTGAAACACCATCTGGCCGCCCCCGACCTTACTCGTGGCACCGCCGGGCGCCGTGAGGTTGAAGTCGCCCGTCTGGAGCAGCATCCGCGGCGCGCGCTGGTAGGGGCCCTTGAGGCTCTTGCTCGTCGCGTAGTTGACGTTGTACTTGTCCGAGTTGAAGCAGAAGCTGCTGAAGAAGAGGATGTACAGCCCGTCGCTGGTGCGCACGAGGTTCGGCGCCTCCACGAGCGGGCCGTCGGCGTCCGTCCTCCCGAGGACCTGCACCGGATCCCCGACCATGGTGGCCCCGTCCGCCTCGACCTCCTGCATCATGATGGGCGTGTCGACGAGCGGCGGGATGCCGTTGTTGCAGTCGCCGCCGTGGCCGATGTTGTTGCCGTCCACCTTGTAGAGCACGTAATGCTTCTTGGTCGGCTCGTCGTAGAAGCCCGAGGCGTCGATGGCCCCGCCCTGCGACAGCGGACACACCCACGGCTCATCCGTCGCCACGTACGGGCCGGTGATGTTCTTGGAAATCCCCACGCCGATGCAGTGCTTTCCGCCGGCGCCCTTGACCTCACCCGAGTAGTACATGATGAAGGACCCGTTGTCCAGCTTCCGCACGTCGGGCGCCCACGTGTTGGAGCCCGAGGCCCAGCCGACTTGCGGAAGCGCGTCTGTGTCGAGCAAGTCCCACGTCCCCGCGATGTCCGATGCTCTGGCCACTTGGATGTTCTTGCCGTTGCTGTTTGTCGCGAAGGAGTACCACATGCCGTCGTCGCCTTGGATGAGGGCAGGGTCCGGGAAGTCGGTGTCGATGCTCGTCGTAATAACCCTCTGTGCTCGGCCCTCAACAAACAGGGCCTCCACCGGCGCGGCCATTACGGGCCGCAAGGCACCCAGGCAGAAGAGACCCGCGGCGAGGAGAGAGCATTGCCGTAGCGATGTTGTTGTTGATGCCGAAAACATTGTTGCTCCCTAGGGTATAACAAACAAAAGCGACAGCTATATAAAGAAGGAGAGGGGGGGGGATGTGTTTATATAAAAGACACACGATAATGAGTGACGCCTTGCTGAGCTCGACCAACTGCGTATATACAACAGACCGAGACAGGAGGATGATGATGAGGAGGAGGACCGGGCGGTTCTTGTGCGTTTCTTCTCTCTGTTCAGGAACTGGACATGTCTAGTAGATGCAAAACCGAATAGACATTACTCCGTTGGCAAGTACTGGCGTCATGAATATCACAGCAAACTTCGAGAAGAGAGGACCTCTGCCCCGGTGAAGGCGTGCGAACGAGACCATTCTTGTAGGCCGGCGGGAGGCTTCCTTACTACAGGGAAAGGGAGGTGAGCCAGGGACGTTTTGGCCGAACATGGGAGTTCTCCGAGTTTTTCCTCGCTCCCCTTGGCCGTCCGCGCGCTCGCTCCACACACGGCGTTTCTTTTTTGCAGTAACAATCTCATCCTGCATGGCCCTGCCACTTGAGCTCGTGGCTCGCGTCGGTGGGCTCGTTGCATTTCCATGTCAAAGCAGCTGCGTGAAACAGGTGGGCCGGGGAGGGGGGGTGGTGCGTAGCGGTCAAGTGCGTGGCAGCTTCTTACACCTCAGCCTCGACCGGCTTCCCGATGCCAAACCTCTTAGCACCTGCAGATCAAGCTATAAAGAAAATCCCCTAAGGCTGGGCTCACGTCAGACAGGGGTGGGCGAAAGGGAAGGGGGGTCAGATTGGAATCCTACTAGGCTTCGGCCCCGTGTCCTTGGTCGAGCAACAGAAAATGAAATAAAGGATGAGGTGCGTGTGCATGCGACCGCCGTTTTCCCGCTCCCCTTGCCAGTCGGGCATGGCCACATGGATGTCCGTGTAACGTCGTCCGCTATAGAGAATGGAGAGAGGAGGCTCATTCTGACCCTTGACCGAGACTCGCACCGGGGATGCACGGGGATTGGTCGGGAATGACGGTGGTCGACGACGGAGGACGACCGGGGGGTGGGATCTCCAACTGCCGGTGCCTATCGGGTGGCGAAGCACGGCGCGGGGGATGGAGGATTTGAGGCGCAAATAAAGAAAGGATGTTGCAAGCCAGTGGAGTGACGTGCCGCCATGAGTGCCACCTCAGGAGAGCATTAAAGTGATCCGCCTTCAATAACGCATTGCCAGTTAGGCAACCCACGGGGTTCTTGGGGGTGCATTGCTCCGATTCCACGCGGCATCCATCAGAGAGCGGGGGGAGGGGGAGGGATTTGGTGACAGCTGCTACGGTTTCCTTGGTCGACTAACACAAGTGGCCTGAGACATGCCTCTCTACCCTTGTGTGCCCCTTTTTTCACAAGGAACTTGTCTTCGGACGAATCGCGGAACACCTATATGGTCGCCGTATGTGAGTAAGATGCTAAACAACAACCGTTCGGACGAGATCCACGCTTTAGCTCGGACCCGGCTGTGCTGGTCTGAAATCCCACCCCTGAATCCTGGGCCACCCAGGTCCTTCTTAACGATTTCCGTACTTCCGTTTCAACATTTTGATGAATAATCTCCTTCAGATATCGAGTATTTCCGTTGAAACGACGTCGATCTAATTTGTAAAGGAATCAAACATGGAAAGGGAGGGATGGAAAAAAAAGAAAAAAAAACCCGTGAACTGATGCGACAGTAGTAGCCGTCGCTTTTGATTTTCGTATAGGACCTATCTACTCCTATCCAGCCAGTACGCACTATGTTCAACAGGAGGAAATCAGAACCAAACGCCACTTGCCAAAGCCATTTTTTATGATACAACAGCCAACCACCGACCATTGTCAACCAAACGCATGGTATCGAGCCAATCGGGAAGATCCAACTCGCCAGAGCTTACTCGCTGTCGTCATCTTCCTCACCGCCGCCTGACTTGGACGCCTTCTTCGCCGCCTTGGCGGCCTTCTTCTCGGCCTTCCTACGCTTGCGCTCCGCCTTCTCGTCGGGTGTCTCGCCCTCGTGCTTCTTGCGCTTCTTGCTCTCGCCGTCATCCTCGTTGTTGGCAGGGGTGACAGCGACGCTAGTGGTGACCGTCGTCGTCTCCACCGCCTTGAGGGGAGTGGCCGGGGCAGACGCTGCAGCCGCGGTGGCACCTTCGACGGCGCCGAAGTCCTTGTACTCGGATACCCACTTGGCGGGAGTCGCCTCGTTGGGACGACCGTACTTGTCGAGCTTGCCGTCGGCCTTGAGCTTCTTCTTCTCCGAGGCCAGGGGCCCCAGTCCCCATCTTCTGGGGTACAGGTCGCGCTCCATGATGCACCGCTTGACCTTGGCAACAACGCCGTGATCTACATGATGTTAGTCCAAAGGAATCGTGACCGCATACAATGACGAAAGACGTACCGCATGTCGACATCTCAACGGTGGACATCTGGGCAATACCAAGGGCAATAGCCTCGCCCTTGGTGGTCATGAGGACAACCTCGTCGTGGACCTCGATCTCGGACTCTAAAAAAGGGGATCAGCATGGCAGTCGTGGGTGACCCTTACTGGGTTGACAACTAACCGTATCTCAGAAGACCGGGAAGCATGAGCTTAGCACCGTAGCAGACGGCGTTGACCTGCCACACACGTCAGTATATACGGTGGAACAGTGAATCGGATCCGAGACATTGCCCGTATGGTCGCATTGACCGTGCAGAGCGGGGTTGTAATAGGTTACTTACGGCACTATCCTTGACCACAATACGCTTGTAGCCAGTGAGAAGAGTCTCCAGGGGAGAGATGACCTTGCGCAGGTAAGACTCATCCCTGGTGTTGTCCATCGTCCATTGAGCATCAAGCACGTCGTGCAGAGTGACCATGCCCTTGGTCTCGTCCATGGCACCACTGCGCACTCTGCGCAGCTCCTGCATGTGACCACCAACGCCCAGCAAGAGACCCTAAAGTCGCGTCAGTAATTAAACCGAGGCCAAACGGAAGCCGAAAAAACGTACCAGGTGGACGCAGAGAGTACGGATGTAGGTTCCAGCTTCGCACGAGACCCAGAAAACACCGAGATGACGGTCCTGTATTTGACGCACCGGTCAGCAGTTGGTTATCGCAAGGAAACGGATCGACGTACATTGTCAAACTCGATGAGCTTGCTCTCGTGGATGGTGCGGATGCGCAGCTGACGCTTGACGGCCGAGATCAAAGGTGGACGCTGGAAGAGGGCGCCGGTCAAGGCTAGATTGCGAGTCAGAACCATATGGACAGCTGCAACAGAATCTGTTTGAACTCACTCTCGAGAGCACGGGCAAATTGGACTTGGCCGCCGGGGAGCTTGTCGTGAAGACGGATAACGGCAACATACTCCTTACCAGCCGACTGCTGAGACTTGACGAGTCTGGTAGCACGGTCGATGCTGGATAATCCATCAGTTGCAGTTCTCTCATGGAACGCGCCAATGGCGATCAGTGGGTTGCTACTAACCAAACAATCAAACAACCTGAGAAAGTTAGCAAAACACGTTCGAGACAAATTTGTGGAACCCGACTCACCAGTAACTTTGGGATCAAGGGTTCCGCTGTGACCAGTCTTCTCGACGCTGCAAGCAAAATCAAGGTCAGTATTCGGTCTTTGGACGAAGCTCCCATCCGAGTGCGCGATTCCCCGAATGCCCCTCGAAATGCATCCATCGCAAGGATTGTTGATTGAATGACGGCAACGGCAGGCGAGGTATCATGATGGTCCTGTCAGCCGAGTTCCGACGAATTTTGTCCGAAGCATGCATATAACTGCCAACTGCAGCCCTCTACATGATACGCTGGTGACTGATTCTCTCGGGAGAAGCATGTCAATTCCCATGGGCCTGGGAGCCCGTGGAAAATTTTCGCCCCCCCCGGCGCATCCAGCCGAACCGAACGCGACGTCATTCTTTACCGCCCGTTGTCCATCCGAACCCGTCGCGTTATACGCCATCGGTATCGTATTTCAAAAAGGCGTGGTTTTCGTAATAGGATATCAAGTTCCGTTTCGAGGGAAGGGGCTTATCGCGCAACTCGGACGCGGGGCATTGCTTCAAACATCAGGGAGGGGGGGATTGCATACCGAAGCATTCGCTTGACCCAAGCGACAACCTCGTGGGAACTGGGCTACGCAATTGTTAGCACAACTGGCCATTCCAATTGATGCGTACGCGCCATAGAAGACATACATTGGAGGGCTTGTCGAGGTTGATGACACCGCTGGAGATGTACGACTTGATGTCTCGCTTCAGAGGGCTGCATCCTGCCGGAATGGGGGTGAAGTGACCCGTCCGGACGAGAACTACAGACCGGTCAGTCGGCCGTTTGATTGATCTCTACGAGCGATCCGCTCAAGCCCAAAGGGTTAAGGAGGGAACTTGCGCTTGTCGTAGTTCTTGAGCAACAGAGGCCAGCTGCTCGTGTCCAGCTGGGGGAGCGAGGCCTGCGGCTTGATGGCGAACTCCTCCTCCTCGCCGTGCTTGACGACTTCCATGGCCATTGTTTCCGTATTGTCCTTGGAACGGCGACAGGCGTTTCAGGTTCAATGGGGGGTCTTTGTGCTTGACGTTGCGGCGGCAGGTACTCGCGAACGTCGGGAATGGAAGTTCTCGTCGTGGGTGTTGGAGGACTTGAAGCTTCCCAATCCAAATTTTTTTCTCCTGCTGTGGGGTGGAAGCTGCCAAAAAATGCGTCTGGGCCCACAGTGTGGCGCCCGTTGGCCATTGAATGGACGTCACTGGCTCACCGCCCGCGTTCAGCCACACACTGCAGTTTCCACCTTTCCAGGGTCCAGTCTTGTGCCGCCATGCACGCAAAAACTACAGCAGAAAGCATTGTTATTCATGTTCACATTTGTGTTCGCAATGAATGGATACCAATGGGGCTACCACTTACCGGTATCCAGCAATCATGTTTTCAAACGAAGCTCATTATTTCCATAACACATATATGAATACCAGCATCGTTCATTGCGTTTGCATTTCTTGCAACATCTCGGGTCATTGCCGAAAAGGCTTCTACATTCAGGCCTCAAAACTGAAGGCTAACAATCGGTGTCTCCAACAATGCTCAACTCCCGCTAATAACAAACAGATCGCGACAGCTTTGAATGCTCAAATTACATACCACAGCCCGTCATACCGCCAGACATCTTATTCGCCGCCTTAAATGTACCCTCTCCTGATGTCCTCTTCTGTCAGGCCGTGGTACGCTGCCGGGTTGTGCTCCGCGTACCTCGAATGTCCTGGATGCTGGAGAACTGGCGGGCTGGGATGCCTCTGACGTGCGTCCCAATCGCCCTCGATGTCTCTCAACTCATACGACTCTGACCTGCCCTTTCCCTTGGGCTCGGACCAGTTGTTTCCAGAGCCGTCGCCTCCGAGGGCGACGCCGATTTCCAGCGGTTGAGCCCTGGAAGCCGCTTGGTCCACTGGCCACTGCGTGCTCGGCGCCTCGTTGCCGCTCACAGGGCTGTTGTACTGGGACGAGTACGGCGAGAAGTATCTCGGGAAGGCTTTCTCTGCCTGGGGGCTCAGGGGGGAGTCGTCCCAGCCTCGCGTGGGTCCTTGGGTGCTCGGGGTGTCGTCCCAGCTTCGTAGTGGTCGCTGGCTTAGCGGAGTGCCATTGATTCCGACCGTGTTCAGCGGCGATGGCCAGGCAGCGGGACCCTTTTGCTTCATTTCCAGCTGCTTCAGGAACGCTCTGCGCCTTCTCTTGCCGTTCCACACAATACAGAAGCCAGCGATCGCCAGGATGAGGACAACACCTCCGATGGCGATACCAACCTTGCCGCCCAAGCTGATAGGGCCGCTGTTGTAGTTTGACACGTATGTGTTGGTTGGCGATGGTTCGGTGGCGTTGACCGGGGTCTTGGAGAAAGGAGAGCCTTCGACGGAAATCGTAGCACCAGGCTCCGGTCTCTGTTGGCAACCGGCATCCAAGATGGTGAGGACTGGGTGCTTGTCAGCAAAAGGCCGTAGGCTTTTTGACTCCAGAACTCACAGTTGGTCAAGTAATGATTCTCTCCCGCGCGCAGGCAGGCAGCGCAACTGCCGACCTGGTTATGGTTCCACGCCGAACAGTAGTCATACTCGGTGCCGTTTGGTGCCAGGTCATTATACATTACTGCATTTTGCAAAGGCTCGCAAGCAGTTCTGATCAACATGTCAACATGCAGAACTACGGCGAGATTAGACGGCGACGAACCTTGTAAGACAAGGACTGGAGCCCACATCGGGGTTGTATGGATAACCGAACAGACAGTACGAGACGGCGTATCGTAGGTTATCTGGGAAGATTAGCGCAAATCCAGCACAAGCCCGCATCTCGGGGACAAGGATGGCGTACACAATAGCCACTGCGTGTCCGTCTGGGTTGCTGTCGAGTAGTCGCTGGTCAACTCGCAGGAAACACATTGCTGGTATACGGGACCAGCGCCAACGGAATAACCGCTCTCGCTGCAGACAACGTCCGTCTCCGTCGTTGCGTCCAGTACGTTGCCGCAGAGTGTCTGGCAAGGTGAACCCTCGGCCACGTGGATAGCCGAGGCGTGGCCCAGCCAAACACCCAGTACAATGGTGCTCGGTGCCAACCGCATTTTTAGATGGAAGAGGCGCGTGGATGATGGATTTACGAATCACTGGCTTGACTCTGAGTCTTCGTTTGTTGGGTCGAGGGCCTCCACGAGGAGCCCGGCGCAAGAAACTGTCTGAGGGACGATGCACCTATTTTACATGCCTGCGAAGACCGGTTGTACGGCAGGTTCTCTCCGGGAGGTTGTACGGCAAAGATGCCGATGAGTAAGATTTAAAGGCGAATGCGTGGTATGACGAGGTGAGGCCCCGGGATTGCGAGCAATGCCAAACGAGGCTTCATATGTGTTTCGGTGCTTGCGAAAGGGAAAACAGTGAGGTTGTGATTGTGACGAGGGGCGCAGGCAACTGCACATCTCATCACCTCGTTGGTTCTCTTGGTGTGTGTGATTGGGGTCCAAAAGAATTGGGGTGGCACGGAGGTCGATACATCTTGGGGAAGACATCAGGGCTGCCCCCCAGCGACCATCCGGCGAGCCGACGCATCTATCTGGCTGGGACAATAAGCTCGGCGGCCTCGTTGGCCGCGGCCAAGTCTACAGGTTGGTTTGCAATACCACACCGCCGTTGGCTCCTTTGGTGTTCGCTGGCGTGGGGATTGAGAGGGCGAGATCAGCTCACGTCGCTGGTCCTCCTAGCGCCGTGGTGGGCGATGGTGTGCAGAGTGCTGGCCGGGGTCCCAGCCACTCAGAATGCAACAACCCTGGACGACTGGAGGGGCAAGATGCAAGAACCCCTGGTCAAATTCACACCTCAGCAACCTCTTCGGGCGCGGGAACCCCTCTCCGTCACTTGATTGGTTATGGAAGTTGTTTGTCTGCTTGTCGGATGAGACCTGTTGGACGGCCTAGCGCCCTGAAAGCGATAGAGAGCAACAGAAAGCAAGGTGCCTCCTAGCTCCCGTATTGGTGGTATTGGCTATAGAATGGTTGATGGGACCTACCTAGGGCTGGTGCCTGTCACATTTGTCTTCATCGTTTGAACAGCGACTTGGGTAGTGCGGAGAACAGATGGATGCAGTCTGGCATGGTCATCGGCTCATGTGCGGGATAGCCCGATGTCGCGCCGCTGAATGCGCCAGGCAAACGCGACCCAGTCAACATGACTCCTCAGATATCCTCGGTTGATCTCCCATCGTTCCATGATGGAGTACAAGTCAAGCAGGTCTGATGCCAAACAGCATATACATACCATACGAGGGATGTGCCGTGGTCAGTCCGCACTGGGCATTTATCCCTTCTTCCAACAGCCACAAAAGGATACATGGAGCCTGATCGACAATCTCTCTCAGAGGGTCATTTTCCGACATTGTGATTCCAGTCAGCATCAGCCCCAGGTACGGATCGTGTCATATCAGGCTCAATTTGAGCCAGGTACAACATGAATAGTTGAAACCCGCAGGCCTTTCCTGTTGCTTTGTATGTAGTTAGTGATCGTAGGGTAATCGTAACTCAAGTCCTTGCCGGATGTTTGTTCTCCCATACGAAAGTCCAGCAGAACTCTGGTATCTTTGAAGTAACTAAGGTACTGACTGGTACATGATGGTCCCTCTCGGGGTCGCACAGGAACGCAATGTCTCTGGAGTAACCCCACAATGATCAGCGACACCCTCAACAAGTACATGACAGCACTTATGTTTGCATCTTGCAGCGTAACAAAGGTCACTATTCCCGTTGAACCGGTTATAGTCTGAATTCTACTGGAGTTGTCGATTAGACTCAGTAAACTCCTTATATCTTACAGTTAGGAACGCACGAGGCACAGATGAACGGACACACCACCATCGTTGTCATGTCAGCTAACATGGTATCTAAACCAGCAATTCCATTCCAATCCATCCCAATCCATTTCATCCATAACGTCATGTCAAACCCTCTTCGGATCCTTGCATCCTTTCATTCATTATACACATTGGCATTCTTCCCTCAAAATGATAGACCTTTGCTCCTCGTGAACGAGGACCAGACTCCCCGCTAAACTGAAAATGAAGAAGGGGGAAAAAAAGAAAAAGAACACACACATTGAAAAGTGTGCTGCGAGCTCGCGTGAGAGATGTCTATGCTACTATAGCATTTGGGCCGTCTGATGACAGCCCGATGTTGTTATCCAGACAAGCCAAGTCGGCAAGGCTACCTGGCAGATCCGGCGTTCCTCCAATGTCGTTGTTTTCGGCGTCGCAGATGACCACCATGGCGCGTGGGGTCTTTGGCTCGAACGGTGGTGTGGACGGTGAGCGGCCAGCTGAAGAGACTGTCCCAATAGTTTCAGCAAGAGAGTCTGCATCACTGGGCTTGTTAGATCCAGTGATCGAGTAGTTGAGACCGTCTTCTCCTTTACTGTTCGTGGCGGCGGTAGCGTTTTCAGTACCCTTTGCTGCTGCAGGGGAAGAGAACGATCTGCCATGACTTAAATCGGGGGAAATTCTGTGCCCTGAAGACGTCAAGGTGGCGCCTGGATCTGATGCAGTCGAGTGTCGTCCATGAACAGGGCAGGTAGGACACAAAATAGCCTCGACCCTCTCGAACGGCGTCCCAGAACCAGGCGATCCAGTGGGAGGCTTTGACGCAATGGAAGATCTTCTGTCACGCTCAATGCGGATAATCTCATCTGCATCTTGAACCGGAGGACTAGAAGGGTCGCGCGGCGACATCTTCGGAGGTGAAAACTTGGAGCCGGGCTGCCGACCGCGACTGGCTGCACGAGAAGCGGGACGTGACCCGACTTGTTCCCCGCTTATCGAGGCTCTCGAGGGAGAACGAATATTCCGCATATTGTCTTTCTCGGTTTCCGTGATCGACCCGGATCTTGCGTGGTGGTTCATACGGGACATCGGTCGCTGGGGTTGCGTCTTCTGGGTGTCCGGCAGTGCCGGCAGCGATCGCCGATTGTACTCGTCACTGTAAATACTTGGGCTCGCCGCAATTAAGATGGACGATAGGTGCTCGCTGGGGCGGCTTCTGCTGCAATTGCGAGACTTTGGTGACGATGGCCGGTCGGGATGCGGAGTCACAGCTTCTTCTGGCTGACCTCGATGCTTGTTCACCGACTCGGCTCTTTGTGAAATGGACCCCAACTGTTGCGTGATTGCGCTTGCTTGTTCACGGTATGCCAAGGCAGAGTCGGTGCGGTCCAGCATCCTTGTTCGACTGGCGTTGCGGGACTTTGGCGATGAGGGTCGAGCTGGAAAGCCATCCTTCGACGTTGCCTCGCCCTTCGAGCTGTTGGAGTCCCCAGAGCGCGACTTGCTGGAGTGGCGCGCCTTGCCACTTTGAGACGCAGCACGCCTTTTCTCCTTTGACGGCTGTTCACTGAGCACCTTCGACTTTGAACTGCCGGCTGTGGCTACTGTACGCATGGAGTTTGAAGAGTGCGTTCGAGGAGTTGACTCATTTTGCGTAAATAGCGGAAAGTGGAATGTCTGGGTTCTGGTGTGGTCCGGCTCTGCCACTGGGTTTCGTTCGTGTGATTCCAACGGCGTCTCCAAAAGGCTGTCAGAAGGTCGCCAGAAATAGCGGGGCTCCATTGGTGACTGATCCTCGAAGGGAGTGATTGGGGTGAAAGGCATGTGGGTGATGGAAACACTCCCGCCATATATCCTCTTATCCCCTTTTCTGGGATAACCACTCAGGGGAATGCCGCTGTGAGGGTACGGAGTGCTGTCTTCGGGTGGACGAGGGTTCGATTGGACTGAGCCATTAGAAAGTACGGATTGAAATGACTGAGTGGACTGGCTGCTCTGAGGGACCGGACTGCCCGCCTGCCACGGTTGAAGGGGTGGAGACTGTGGAATGATGAGCTTCGGCCGGACCGCCTGGGGAGTAGGACTTGGAGCGGTTGGGGTTGGAAGATTGACGCTCTCTGGCGACCTGGCCGTATTGTCTACGGAATCAGACTCCGACGGGAAGGTAGGAGGGGGAGGTATTTGTATCCTGGGTGTCTGCTTCACCTGTCTTGACGTCGGTGACTTCGTCGATGACTTCTGCGAGGATCCCGAAACAGAAGACGATTTCCCTGGCGGAGATGTTGGCTGGGGCGGAGTGTGCGATGAGACTCCTCTCTTTGGCTCACTGCTGCGGGATGGAGCACTAGAGCCGGACGGAGTAGCTGAGGATGGGCGATCTGGCTGTTGCATCTCGGACTGTACGGTAGACGACCGATCAGGCTCAGGGCGATAAACCAGCTTTCCGTAAGGAGGGTTGTTGGTGTCGATAACCAGGAGCTCCTTCTCGCCTCGGCCAAGGAGGCCATATATCTTGACCTCCCCGTCCTGAATCCCAACAACCGCGCTCGTCCCTGCATAAACTGCTTCATCCTCATTGCCAGTCCGGTTGCAGAAGACAACAATAATCTCCTCCTGGTTATCTGAGCGAATGAGAGGTTCCAAACGAGTGACCCAGTAGGTCAAAGTGTCCATGTCTGGTTCATTGGGCATCCGACTGAACAGGCGTCCATCTTCTCGAGTCATCCACGCCATGGACACAATGACCAAGTTGGATTCATACTCGAGGACATGGAAGGCAAACTCAAAAGCATGCCACGGAGCTTGAAACTTGTAAGGGCTGTTGAATGTTAGCAGACCGTTGTCACTGGGCTCCGTAAACTCAGACTTACTTTAGATCCATGCCTTGTAAATCATGTTAGTAAAAGGATAGCAAATGGCATGGGAAGCACTCACAGATACCGATGGACGTGTTTCCAAGACCAGGAATCCAGCCCTCATAGAACCCTTTGTTCCCCTCAAGCGCCCAGGTCTCGTCCGTGTAGTACAGGAAACTTTTCCGGTAATTGGCGATCGTCTCTCCATCTCCATTGACCACGATTGCAGAGTTGTAGTACTCCGGGCCTGTAGGCCAGTTGTGAGAGACATCTACCTTCTCTGGATAGCCAACGACCACATTGCAGTTGTATTTGAGAGCCGTAGTTCGAGCCCATAGCGAGGTAATGCCAGAGCCTGATGGCTCGAGAAAGGGCGAGATTTGCTGCAACGATTTGAAGTTGTATCCTAATGAGGGTCAGCGATGTGAATGATATGCGCTCGCGCTTCCTGTCGGAAAGGCTGCGAGATCACCATTCCACTCCGCGATGAAGCGCCGTTCCAATGCTGCAAGACTTACCTGTGAAAGCCAGCTCAGGCAGGACAAGCAGATCAAGATCGTCCGTATTCGCTTTGCTCAGACATGAATCGGCGCGGTTGAGGTTATTGTCGATGTCGCCCACTTGAGGAGCGAACTGAAGGCAGCCTATCCTCATCTTCGGGTACTGCGAACAACGAGCAGGATAGATCAATGAGTATGCCAAATGCTCCGTCTCCAAACACGCCTCGACCGATCACACGTCTCGCCTCAGAGGAACGGAAATCGTAGTCCGGTTTTGACAAAGACACCCAGAGAAGAAGAAGGCGGCGGTGGCTACACGATGCCAGGCGAGGTGAAGGATAACGGTGGGGAACACAGAAAGATTCAAAACAAGGCTAGAGGGGGCTAGATAATCTAGGTGATCTTGAGGACGAAGATACCTACAACTTGGAGGGCGGGCGGGGGAAATAAGGAGCGACGGGCAAGGGGTCGCAATGGGATCCGAGCACGGGGTAAGACGCCAAGATGAATAGAGGTACCTTAGGTACTTTGCACCTGGCTCTTGGGTTGCCGGCCAATTGTCAATATGCGTTGGTGGTGATGAAGCACAACCAACAGGATATCGACGTTTGCCGCTGTCAGCGTGCAAGGGTCTTGGGGGAAAACTGCTTGCAAGCTGCAGCAGCGCCTAGCCTCTCTTGGGAATCGGCCGATCACCAATCCTGCCAACGGTTAGTTACTCTGTCCAATTAGAACCGCTGAGGTGCTCTGCAACCCTTGCTCACAACCATGAAAAGGACTGAACATGCACCAACAGCATGATAAGTCCAATATGCTCATTGGAACCCTCCCTGCTGGAAGGAGAAAATCTGCCCATGTTCCGCCACTCCCAGCGGGCGTTCAGACAAAGATTCCTATCCTCGGCTGCCTAACTCGGTTTGGTCCAAGGAGGCAACAAGTCGGTCCACACCGCAGCCTTACCAATGTGTTGTATTCACAGGCTGGTGCCGGACGCTTGACAACATCCCGAGATTGGGGTAGGAGGGGGCACGATAGTGTATAACTGCCGTGTCCCTTGATCGTATGAACTGCTCCTTCTGTCCTCCTCCGATGTTGGCGGCTCAACGCCGGACGATTATCAAGCGGCACACAGCCTTGGATGTCGATGCGACGAACGACACTGACCGCAACTCACCTTGCGGGTGCAACAACGGCGGAGCAGGGCCCGGGAATGAAGGATATGCGACTAAACTACAAAGTACCTCTGTACGATGCCAGGGTCAGCTCCTGCAAGTTGACCAGCCCGTCCAGCTAGCAAGGGCTGACCACACTCGGTATCGGTCACGCCACCTCACCATGGCCAGTTTTGTCCTGTCCAGATGTAAGTCACTCGAGGAGTTTCTTCTGCCGATCCCTGTTTGAAAACCCGCTGTCTGGATGAGAGGCTCTTCCGACACAACGGTTCAGGTGGAGAAGGTTGGCCTGTCTACTCGCTCTATTCGTCCAACATGCGGCTCTCCTTACCTACTTTCCAGTGCGTTCCAACCAGCCTCCCCACGAGCTTCCAGCGCGTAGCCCGGCCAATCAGACGCCACTGCCATGCCGTCGCTAATGTGATTGTTAAGAAGTAGGGCTTCCGACTTGTAAGCAACAAGGAAAGCGCCCCCAAGATTTCAGCGCTTCACGATTACCACTTGCCACGTTCGTTTCCCCAGCGCCGGCTGCTGTCTGTTTCTGCACAGCAGGCGGAGCCCTACAGTGATCGGAACCAAGGTTCACAAGAGTCCGGACATGTACCGGTAATGTGGGCTAGAAGTCTGGTCCCTATTCACCGTACCACCTTTGTTTTTGCGGAGGTGTATATGTAACGAGAGCCACAGAGTTATAGTATTCACTCGAATCACCACTTTGTGCCAACAGTGTACAGCCTGGAATATGAATATCACGAGATATGTCTTGAAGGATTTCTCGAGAAAGAGACACAACCATTTTTCCAATCCAAATCGTGAGCATTACCTCCCTGTAACAATCACAGCCAGTACGTGAGCCTCAGACCGTTATCACCAAGACATTGGTGTTGACTTTGGTGAACCCATAGTATGTCCGCCATTGCTTATATTTGCTGTCCTGGACGTCAGTCTAGACCTAGCCACGGGAGGACGGAATTCCCTTACTTGAATACGGTCATGACCGCATGGCCCGTTGTCTCGTTGTGACCCCAGGAGGCTGACCAGCCTCCGTTCTTGCAGTTCTGATGCGCGATACTCTTGCCCAGCGGCTTAAGTCCCTCGAATGGCCGGACATCTATATGACAGGATTCGATCGTCGAGTTGCCACTCTTGATCCCAAACATCATGACGAGCCTATCGGTGAAAGACCCGGTGATGAACTTGTCTAGACGACGTGGCCAGTCTTATCACCAGCTTCGTAGGTGAAGCAACTCATCTCACATCTGATGACGTCGACAAGCTTCCACTCTGAAGCATAGGCAATCCCCCCATCCCTTTCCCTTGCTTCCTCTAAACTCTTCTGTTCCTCCCTGTCCTTCGCTCCCTGCCTTTTCTTCGCTTCTTACAGTCGCTTCATATTCTTCTAGGCCTTGTTGTCCTCAGCCTTGTCTTTCTTGGTCTTGTCTTCCGCTATTTGCATCATCTCTCGCTTGGTGGGAATTGGGTGATTGAAGACATCGGAGGTCTGTGGGTTGACTTCGTTGCCAGCCCAAAGATCCGAATCCCTGGCCGAAAAGAAGGATAGAAGACCCCTCTGCTGGTTGATGACCGTCAGGGTAACAAACTTTTGCTCGTCCCAGCCGCCGTTGACCGTGTACTCCGGGGCGTCAGGGCATTCGAGGGCCGAGAAGTCGGTTTGGTACGCAGGGAGTCCGCCCGCTGCCTCGATGGTGAAGTTGCAATACCTGGGGGCTATTGCCGGGTCTTCGGAGATGAGGAAGCTGTAAGTGCACTTCGCCTGATCTTCCGAGCAGGCACGCCGGAAGCTCATGAGGGACCAAGTCTCCGGGCTCGGGGGCTGAGGCGACTCAGCCGGGAATGAGAGCGCCTGGAAGGCAAGAAAGCTGAAGATGAAACCGAGCCTTGTCGCCATGATGCAGATATGGGCCTGCCTGGTTTACTGTGGCGGTGGTGAGGAGTTTCTAGTCTCAACAACGGCTTTCGATTATGGCCATTATATATCTTCTCCTGCTCAGTGGCCAACTAACTTGGCAAGCTGGCGGCAACATACTGAGAATGGTTCACGTGGTATCTCATACACGAATTTGTAGACTCGGGCAGCGATTTGTTGGAAATTTGATTGCGGATGCTCCATCTTTGAGAATGTACAACCCAAACTCGCCCTTTTTGCGCAACACGGATGGACTCACAAGGAGTACTCAAGTCGTACGCCAGGCCAATATCGCCGAACCTGCGCCGTTTGTCCCTAACACGTAGCCTTGTTCTTCGCCCCAGACTATCACATCGTTTGTCAGAAACGTTGCGATACCTCGCTAGACAGCAGATCTTGTAGAATCTCGAAGCATTAGTAACGGATAGCCAGACCTCCATGCCCAAGAAGTCTTCTGAAGCCTTAGAGTAACACTGAACAAAGCATGCGTTTTGTCACCAAGGGCTATTATTTGGCCCACAATGGGACTCGGGGTGTCAGAATGCCGTATTTCATTCGCGTAACATGGCTCAAATAACTGAACTAGAAAGCGCGAGGCTAGGTAAGACCTCGGTCCGGTTGAGGTCAAGCAAGCCGTTTCCAATCGCGAATAGAGGATACGGTAATGGATTCTACAGGATCAATGAAGATCAGAAAGCTGATTAAGGGGCACATTTAAAACTAGCGTCAAATTCGGACACTCAAGCTGACGACTGATAGGTGGTGCAAGTCGTTCAAGTGCCCCATGGTAATCAAACTCGGGTAACCTGTCGGACAGTGCGGGATGACTCGTAGTAGAAAACGGATAAGAAGGGAAGGAATTCATGTTCGTGTAACCAGCTTTGACAAAGACAGGTGAGCTGTCTGTGGAATTTACACCGTGTCTATGAGCGGAAGACCTCGGCCTATCATGGTCATACCACGACAACTGGAGGAGGTACACGATGATGGCTCGTGGGATGGAACGAGCCTTCGAAGAAGGCCAAGGGATCTAGACCTGTAAAAGAGGGGACAGGGCAGTTCAAGCCGAAGAGAGAAATCTTTGATGTCCGGCAATATCCAGGGTCGGGGCGTCGTCTCCTTTTCAAGTCCATCCGAGAGGGCAAATCCGAGCTGGAAGCCGATTTCTCATATGGATTCTCAGAACGCTGCACAAGACGGAACCGGGAAACAAGACCGCCCAAGTTCTGCTCCATGACCGGCCATCAGTGGGGGGAACAGCGTCGCTCGCTCCGGCGCTCCGCGCGAGGAGACGGGCGATCTTCTCCGCACGAGCTGTTCGAGAAGGCTAGCGGCATATGCAGCCACTATCACATTGTCTGCTATTCACGGAAATTGGGCTGCAAGTGACCACCAGGCGGGGGGGGGGGGCGTCTGGAGCAAATGGGAGGAAGCCAGGTGTGGTAGGCGGAGCCTTGGACCGCTAGCACCGAGTAGGAAGATGTTGCGTCGCCGCCGGGAGCGCGGCAGCGGCAGCGACAGTAAGTTGAGCCAACTGATGGCTGTCCGTGAGCGTTGTCTTGTTGGTTAATAGACGCGCTGGACCCTACAGCGTGGCTCTTAATGTTCCGGGATTGTCGTGGAGGATGTTGGTTAGGTCGAGAACGGGATCATGGCTTGGGTATGGCTGGTCCAGCTTCTACTCATTGTAGACGGAAGTTTGGTTTGGGCCCCAAAGGAAACGCAGTCAGGCGTCTCTTGGCTTCGTCGGGTAGGACAAGCATCAAGCTATTAAGGGCACAGCGGACACGTCGTTCGTTGAACCAAAGGCTGGTCAGCGAAAAGGATTCTGGATGAGGAGGAGAGATACGTTCCGTGAGCCATTTACCCTCTAAAAATCCAGTCTCGTGCTGTCACCGTCTTGGCTATAGTGTGTGTGGGTGGTCTGATTTTTAGAGGCCCCAGCCGCTACTATGTTGAGATGGCCGCAATGCGGGCCCTCTGGCGGGAGGGGCGGCCGCTAATTGGCCTTCCGAGACCTCTCCACTGACATGGTTAGTGAGAGGCCGCATCCCCGGCCGGCGCCAGCAAGACCACTCAATCCTCAAGTCTGCCCGTTTCGTTTTAACCTTCCCGTCTCTCTCAGCCAGTCAACATCGTCCACCTTGTCCAGATCCCAGTCCCGTCCATCTTTATTTTGGCGCCGGTGTTCATGTTTCTCTCCCTTCTCATTCGCCGAACCCGGGCTTGAATGCGATCCTACTGCTGGGGGTTCATGACCATGCGCCATCTCATTGGACTGATTCATCTTCGGTCGCTCCATCTTGGCTTCTATTCTCAGCTCGAGAACCCCCCCCGCCTCGCCATCTGGAAAAGACGCACGTCTTAGACACACTTTACCGTTCTGGACAGTGGGCGATTCGGTTTCTACGGGGCCCGTGTCGTGGTGACTTCACCATGCTCCCCAAAATAGACCTGCCACTGTAATTACCGTGCTTGCAAGTACAGAGCCGCCTGCCTGTCTTGCATGAGATCGCCGTGCTCCCGCGATGTTACCTCCCACGCCAGCTGGTATATCTGCACCAAGTCCCTCATGTGAAAAGCTCGACTGTGCTGGAATGGATTTTACGCCTTAGTCTTTGACTCCGACTACGGTAGATCACGTATAGAGACTCCTTCGAGATACTCTCACTCCCACCTAGAGAGGGTTTGGCATACCATGCCTGCGAAGCTATCACGACCTTCCCTATCCCGGACGTCCACGCCCCTATTCGCCAGGTTCGCGCGGCCCTAGTCGACCCGGCGCCTCTCTTCAAAATGACGGTCGTATCATCGTGGCGTCTCCTTGCCGTCTTCTCGCTTATTGCTGCCGTTTCGTCGCTGGAGGTCACACCCGGCTCGGATTGTGCGGCCCTGTGTTTGGATGGGCATAACGGGACGGCAGTAGACACATCCGGAACGAGCTCGTCCGACATTGTATGCGAAAACGACCAATATCACTCGACCGGCACCGGCATCAAGTTCAAGAACTGCATCAGTTGCCTCCAGAACAGCCAGGCAACCAAGGGGCCAGAAAGCGACGCCGCGTGGTTCATGTGTAAGACCTTTGCTGGAACGATAGACAGGAGACCTAGTTTGGACTGACACATGACTGATAGACAACGTCCGCTATGCGGTGGATGTCTGTCTATTCAACTTCCCCGACGCCATCTCCGACATCAACTCCCCCTGCATCATCAACAGTGCTTGTCTGCCCCTCAAGAATGCCTTGACGAGCGGGCTTGTAGCACCAGAGGCCGGGACCGCCTACGATTATTGCACAGCAGACAACGACAAGTTTTCAAGTTCGAGCTGGTGGTCTTGCGTCCGGTGTCTACAGTCCAGCGACGACCAAAGCTACCTCTCCAACTGTAAGTAGTCCTTCCCGCCCGCGGTCAATGACAAGTACTGACGAGCCGCCGTCTAGTCTTGATCGCTCTCAAAGCCGGATGCCAGCGCAAACCTACGGACGGGAGTTTGATTGGGTTAACGGGCCAATTGTTCTCGGAAGTGGCGGTTAACATCACCGACACGGCCACCAACACGACGATGCCTGGCGACGGAGGGGCTTCCGCAACCAGCATGACGCTTGGAACGATCGTGGGTATCGCAGTCGGCGGCGGCCTCGTCTTCGTCGGAGCCATATGCCTCTTCATCATCTACTGCCGCAAGCAGCGGAAACAGAAAGCGCAGGACGGGGGATATCTCGACCAGAGACCACCCGGGAGCAACGGCAGCTCCGTCACAGCGACCAGCAAGAGCCATTACATCCCGATAGCGGACCACAAAAAGTCGTCTTCGATCCGCTCGTACAACTACGAGCTGCAGGAAAAGCAGAACGTCATCCACAGCAACGCCGACTATTATGACAGGCTGGCGCAGGAGGTCCAGGCCGGTCGCGAGATGGCCCACTACAACTTCGACCCTCACTCCGGCCACCACGGCCCGGGGAGCGCTCTTCCCACACACCCGGCCTACATACCCCGGGCCATGAGCCGCCAGTCACACCGTACCAACACCCCGACACCACCTAACCTCCGAAGGACCAACACCCCGGACTCGTACGCGCTGCAAACCTACCTCAACGCCGTCGAGAACCCGGCCGTATCTGCCATCAGACCACCACCGCAAGCCGCCTCGCGAACCCCGTCGCCCGCGCGGTCACAGCGGTCATATACCGACAACCCCGCGCTGCCCCAGCTCGCCAACATCCCGCCGCCGCCTCCGGGAGGGCCTCCGTCCCGGAAACAATCCAGGAGCATACCGTCCCTCTCGCTCCCCTCGGTCCCCCGGATCCGCGTGCCCAAGCAGTACTCCCCGCCACAGATCGTCGTCGAGGGCGCGACGCCGGTGGATGATCGTGGCGAGACAGGCGCAATGCACATCTCAGAGCCTCTGACCCACCACGGGGAGAGGTTCCAGGACAGGCCACTGGCCGGCCGTCCTATCATCTCGTACGTGGCGCCAGTGAGGGACATAGACCCTCAAGATTATGAGAGCGATATACCCATCCGGAGCGGCAAAAGCACTTTGTACGGATAGTTATCGTTATACCAAAAGGGAAAGGACTTTTTATGAATACCAAAGGAAAGGGGAGCGTTGGCTTTCTCGGAGTTCGGGATGGATGGGAATTTTGCATTTTGAGCATACAGTCTTGCAGCGTCAGGCACTGCAACTGCATAAGAGATTAAATAGAGCAAACGATGCTCTTATTCCTAATGTATTGATTATCTATCATGCAACCTTCCGCGAACCATGCTTTAACCCAGACGCTGCCCAGGTCCTCTCGTCCTCCACGAGTCGGGAAGGACGCCGCCGCCTCGAGACACACCCGTGCTGCTGCCCGAAGTCTGGGCCGAGGCACCTCCGCCACCGCGTATAGCAGTGCCGTAGCCGCGCTGGTTGAAGCGGGGGGTCTGAACGAGACGCGAGAGGAAGGCAGGCGTGGGAATCAAGTTGCGGCCGCCGCTGAACTCGGGCCACACCCTCGACAGGAAGTCGTACAGGTGGGCGGCGATGAAGCCCTGGAGCTGGATTATGAAGGTATAGTACCCGGCCCCGCTGGGGTCTAGCAGCGACATGAGCATAATGCAGAACGGGCTGAGCTGGGCGGGGATGGTGATGAAGTAGAAGTTGGACTTGACACCTCGCTGGTCCTGGGTGACGGTGCGACACAGGGCGATAATCAAGGCTGGCAGGAAGCATCCTCCGCCCATGACGTAGGTGCAGAGCGCCTATGTGCGATATTAGCGCATGTTTCTCCTGGGCCGGAGCTGGATGGTTTCATGGCGATCGTGGATAATGACATGAACTACATGAGAAAACAACAAAAACCCAGTTTGGGTGGTAAAATGTAGGGAGCTGTAAAAACCACCCGAGCAACATTGTAAAAGGTTGCACGAGCCATCCATTAAGACATCCCACCACGCCCACGCCACAAGCCAAGTCCTGTAAAGCGAAATGGACTGGTCGCGCCGTGAGGGTAATCTTCCTCATTTCCAGGAACCGCTATAGCTGTGGGTATCCACTATGCGGGCAGATAATATGAGGTGCAGAAGATATGTGTAGCAAGCAGGCAGAGAGCTGATGCTCGCTTTGCGGGGGGTGCACGTGTGGAGGAACTTTCCAGAAGACGTTTTTTTTTGGGGGCATTCGTGTTTTTGGGCGAGCTGCCGAGGGCAACGACGATATAGCAGACTTACCGTGATAACAGTGCACACAAACATGAGATACCAGATGAGATCCTCGCGTCTGGAGAACCTGGAATTGCCAACCTCGAGGGCAGAGAGGTACGTGTACAGTAAGTACGGGTCAAAGAGCAAGCTAAGCTTAGGACCCGTGATCAGGAAGTTGGTCCCGAGACGCCATATCTGAGGCGGGATTTTCAACAGGAGATCTGGCGCGAAATAGAACCAGTAGCCGTTCACGAGGCCCATGAAGACAGACAGGGATGTGATGAAGGCGGCCGTAGCAACTGTTCTAGATGATGAGAGTCAGTCCGTGTGCGTCGGGGAGGTGAGACGGGAGAGGTGAGGTGCGCGTACCTTGCGAGAGGCGGCGCCTGCCAGTACGCATCCATTATTTCCGACGACATCTTTTCAAAGCAAAAAGTCTCGAAAGCGAGGCTTTTCAAAAGAGGTAGTGGAAGCGCTGGTGGGTAAGTAGAGGAAGTTGGTGGTGATGCAGATGGCAGCTTGCAATTGGCAGGCTGCCGTATTTTTATCTGCAGGTGTAGCGGGAGAGGACCAATAAGACACCAGGCTGCAGCGCTGATGTGCTAGTGCTGGGCATGTTTGTGACCCGTGTCCTCTGTGTGAGAGGGAACAATTTAATAAGCAAGGAAAGAGGAAGAAGCCTTCCTGCCTCGCCTTTTTCAATGCGTTTTTTTTCTGCCGCTGGGGCCTAAGCGGTGTAACCAGTATTGTGGTGGGGGACGTCGTGCGCTGTATTCTAGTCGCTGCGAACGCTGACAGTCGCCGGGCCTTCATTGGCCAATGCCCTACGTCGCACCCCTCCCCAGCGGAATGACACTGAAGCTGCAGCTCCGACAGACGGGGTGGGGAAAAAAGATGCCAAAAGATTCTTGAAGGCGAGCTTGTTTTGCGATATCTTCAATATCTTTACCATTTACTCACCGGACGCTCTTGTATCCGACCATTCAGTGTCTCGCAAATACACCCGCCATGTCTACGACCTCTCACCCTCCCAGATGGGCCGCCCTCGCGCGCGACACCAACGAGACCAAAATCCAGCTGGCCATCAACCTCGATGGCGGGGCATTCCCCCCCGAAACCGACTCCAGGCTCACCGCGGCCGTCACCGAGCACGCCTCGCAGGCGAGCAAGTCCCAGACCATCAGCGTAAACACGGGCATCGGCTTCCTTGACCACATGCTCCACGCCCTCTCCAAGCACGCCGGCTGGAGTCTGGCCCTCGCCTGCAAGGGCGACCTGCACAGTTCGTCACTCTTCCCTCTCTCTCTCCTGGTCTACATGGCCACAAGTTTCCCTCCGCTTACACTGGCTGATTAGTCGACGACCACCACACCGCCGAGGACGTCTGCATCGCCCTCGGCTACGCCTTTGCCAACGCCCTCGGCAGCGCGACCGGCCTCGCCCGCTTCGGCTACGCCTACGCCCCCCTCGATGAGGCCCTCTCCCGCGCCGTCGTCGACCTGTCGAACCGCCCCTACAGCGTCGTCGACCTCGGCCTCCGCCGCGAGAAGATTGGCGACCTGAGCTGCGAGATGATCCCCCACTGCCTGCAGAGCTTCGCCCAGGGCGCCCGCCTCACCCTGCACGTCGACTGCCTGAGGGGTGAGAACGACCACCACCGCGCCGAGAGCGCCTTCAAGGCCCTGGCCGTGGCCGTCAAGATGGCGACGAGCCGCGTCGCCGGCAAGGAGGGGGAAGTGCCCAGCACCAAGGGAACCTTGAGCGCATAGACCGCTGCCGAGAGGCATTCGTCACGAGATAAACAAAACAGTAAAAAGTAACGAAAAAAAGAGGGACAACGGTCGGAAACGAGGCTCTTAGAACTGTTTGAGTATTCCGAGTTGATATATGATACCCCACCCAAACGCCATGCTTTCCGGTGTGCCCAAGACTACTAGTATAATGACCGAATCCTGTTCCTACAATCAAACTCTGAAGAAAGAAAAAGAAAGAAAAAAGACATGAGAGCGAGGATCATGACCGCCGCAGTTACATGTGGTTATTCATTAGCGCTGAGGTCGCATGTTCTCCTTGTTATTGTTGCCCTGGCCTGAGGCGCCGCGTTTCTTGTCAGCCTTCCTCCGTTCTATTCGTGCGATTGCCGCGGCCCGCCTCTCAGGAGGCAGCGTGCTCTTTGACATGTTCGCCGCCATGTTGCTAGCATCCATATCTGGGCCGCCAAGCCGGGCAAACCGATCTTGCAACAAGTCAATAGGGGCATTGTTGTCCTTGCTCGCAAACCTGTGCCGCGGGGCCGGCGTGGTTCCCGACGGGATCTCGGTCGAAGTCACGATCCGTTCATTCAGATCAGCACCAAGGTATTCTCTGTTGCGAGGCGACCTTGGAATGAATGGCCGCCACTTAGGCTTGTCCAGGTTGACGCGGTTGGAGAAGATTTCGGACTGGGGACGTCTTGGGGGGGGTTCCTTCAGGATCTCTTCCTCTTCCGAACTTAGAGACTCGGCGTCTCGCTGATGCTTGTCCCGAAGATTATGGGACCTCGTTGCGTTGAGCTTCTTGCCGAGGGATTCTACCAGGTCGAGGCTTCGCCGGTTGGTATCAACCGAGGGCTTCTGGGCCTTACTGGTTATAGCGAGGCGATCGTTGTCCTGCGCCCGATGCTCCCTTGCAACAGGCTCGCGGTCAGCCAGAGAAGTAGCTGCAGCCCTGGACTTGGATGCCTCAGCTGAGCCCGCCTTGAGCGCCTTGATCTCCCTCTTCAGCTCGTTGATTTTATCGGTTGCTTTCTCCAGGATGTGTCGCGTATCTTCTTGCGTGGCTTCGGCATCCGTCCGGTAGGCCTCAAAATCCGACTTGAGCTTGCGCAGCTCTTCGTCCTTCTGTCGAGCCTCCTCTTTGAGTTCTTCCACTTCTTTGCTCGATGTGGTTGTCTCCTTGTTCTGCGAGGGCTGTTGCTCGGCAAGCCGCTTGTTCTCCTCGGCGAGTTTGTTCGCTCGTTGCTCGGCAAAGAGGAGATCGGACTTCAATCGCTCAACCTCCTCTCGCAACTGGCCATTCTCCTTGATTTGTGCTCTGGCCTTTCTCAGCTCGCGCTGCGTCTCGAGCAGCGCTTTGTGGGTTCGTGGAGAGGCGGCCTGCCTTCGGCGTCTGCTCCGCGCATCTCCTTCGTCCTCGTCTCCGTCACGGTTACCCAGCAACGCTTCCAGCTCTTTCACTTGTGTTTTGTACTCCACAGCGACGGCCGTCTGCTTGGCCAAGTCCTTCATCAGCTGTGGGTTGTCCCGTTCCTCACCACTGGCGCGCTTCGAAGCAATTTGCGCCGCCATCTCGGAAATCCTCTTCTCCATCTGCGCAACTTTCTCTTGCTCCTCCTTGAGTTTCGCGTTCAGGTCGATGGCTTCGGCGTCCTTCATCTTGGCGTAAGATTTCGCCAGTTGCTTGTACTTGAGCAGTTTTTCCATCTCGGCTTTAGCGTCCTGGTGATACTGCTCAAATTCCGACTTCCAGTACTTGCCCGACCGCGAATGAGGCTCGTTAAGGTCTATCGTCATGTCTTGTGTATACTGATCGTCGTCGGCCTCCTCCCATTCGTCCTCCGCGTCGTCTCCCCTCGTTCCGTTGGCGCGTGTCTGGCTTCTCTCTCGCGGGTTCGCAGTCTCTTTGTTCCGTCGAGAGTTCTCCAATGCCTCTGTCAACTTGGTGCGCTTGCTTGCAGAGTCGCCGCCCGAGTTGGTAAAGCTCTCGGGGAACTTTCCAAGTCGTTCGTCGCTCTCTTTCCCTTTGCCCTTCTTGTCGAATTTCTTATTATCCAACACGTCGTGTCCGAACGAAACGCGTTTCCGTCGAGAAGTCCCGGTCCCAGGAGTGAGGAGAATGCCCTGAGGCTTTAACGGCGTCCGGGACTCTGCGTCGAAATCATCTGCATCTCTGCGATGCGCCATAATCGCGGTGTTGTCGTCGCCTGGTCGTGCGGGAGTCCCAAAGATGGCACTTTTCAGCGCGCGGGCAGCGAAGACGGGCGCGGGCGTGTCTGGTTGCTCAATCTGCGTCGTGTCGTCTACGACGAAGTCAGAAAAGCCTCCAGAGGCGATTGAGGCGCTGCGGGGGGTTTCCTTACCTGCGTTTGCTCTGTTTCCACCAGACGCGCCCTCCAACCCTCGTCTCAGAACCCAGCCCAGCATCCTAACTTTTGTGTGCTCCTGATTATCGGGGAAAAAAGAGGATGACTCTGCCAATCAATCGATGGCTACGCGCGGATTTGAGCTTTCTAATGTAGCGCGGGGTTCGTTTGACGAGATCGCATCACGCGTTCGTGTCCTGGCGGGTCGCAGGTCTCAATTAGTCGTGGTTTTGGTGATCTGACCGCGGCGAACAGATATGGTTTCTCACATTGTTTACTTTGTTACCGCATGTGGACGTCGCGTCCCTGGTTTGTTGGCCGGACCCACACAGTCCATCTGCACCGTTTGTGAACTGTACGTACCTCTTTGTCAAGCACCCTTCCAGCTTTTGGGTTCTTCAGAACCATGGTGCCCTGGCCCACTGGGGAAAGGCACTAGGACGATAGGCGTCATCAGTGAGGGGCATTCGCCTATCGTGCGAAAAACCCCCCCACTTCCAGGTTGATAGCGGTGGATGTAAAGGTATACTGTGACAGCGCATCAGGCCTCCCAGCCGTTCGACGGTAGCTGTGGCGCTTCAGTCGGCCAAACTTGGTTTCGTCTTTTCCCTCCCTTCTTAGTGTGTCATCCATACATATCACTCTATACTAAAACAGCATTGCCAATTTTACACATTATGGCTTTCTTGTAACGAGCGTCACGGCTCGCGCTGTGGTGATTCGTCAAGCCCTTTCTCGTCATTTTCGATATGGCGTCGAAAGCATCCGGGGTGTGGAAAAAGCCCATCAACCAACCTCAGACAAACAAAGATGACTCAAGCTTCCCGGGACTCGAACCAAAGGGTCCCGAAACTGCCTCCAAGATTGCATATGAGGAGCTTCAACGAAATGAGCTCATCGCCCTTGAAGCCATTTATGGGGAGGATTTCGTGAGGCATGCAGAGACACCAGGTGCTTGGAAGGTAAAGAGGACCTCGTCGCTGTCCTTGGAGGCTCTTGTTGATAAGGGAAAACGGTGCTGACACTCAACCAGAAAGCAGACCCTTCATTCGATGTTCGAATCAGGGCGTCATCGGATGAGGACTTTGCCGTCACTTTGGGTGTAGTGATGACTGCTACGTATCCCAAGAGCCCGCCGCTGCTAACTCTGAAGAACACTGGCGACCTCCGTGAGGCTACCCTGTTCAAGCTTCAGAAGTTTCTCGAGACTCAGCCCAAGATATTTGCAACTGAGGAGCAGGAGATGATGGATCGAATTGTAGAAGGAATCAGAGATATCCTCGAAGACGCAGCTCAGGCCAAGGCAAAGGGGCTTGAGCTCCCCTCACTTGAAGAAGAGAGAGCAGCCCACGAAGCCTTGCTGGCCAAGCTAGCCCAGGAACAGAAGGAGGAAGAGAATCGCAAGAAAGTTGAAGAAAATAAAGAGGAAGAAAGAGTGCTCGGTGGATTGTTGCAGGTTGAGTTGAAACGCCAGAAGGATAAGGCGAAGGAGACACGCAAAAAGAATCGACCAAACGGGCTGCCGTCTCTCGACACAATGGACGGCCCAAACAGCGCCGGAAGTGGTCGCATAATCTTCGACAGGCCCTGTCACACGACGGACAAGACTGGAAACATCATTTCTTTCCAGGCTGTGTTCGGAAAGTCCGAGGTCGCCAAAGGCCCCGTTTCGACTGTCTTCTCCGTTTGGCCTGTCGTCGACGATGGGCAGGACTGCCCCAACTTGGCGCTCAAGGAAACTGTTCTCCGCACAACTGCAAAAGAAGACGCCTCTGTCTTCAAGAAACAGGTTCAATCTCTTGAAAGCCAGCTTGAGGCACTCAAGCTAGTGCGTCACCGGAACCTGCTTGAGGTTTTGGACTTTAGGGTGGAGCGGGAGAAGAACAACACTGCAAAAGTGCTTGCAAGTCTTTGGACCGTCAGCGTCCTCACCCCTAGTGCTGAAAAGGGGTCTCTTGCTGAACTTCTTGATTTGGCTGGCCAGTTGGATACCAGTAAGGTGCGTGCTTGGACGCGAGATTTACTTGACGCTCTCAATTTCCTGCACAACAAGTCTTTGGTTCATCAAGACATACACGCAGGAAACGTCTTGCTTTTCCGAGAACAGACAGGGGAAATTGTACCAAAACTTGCAGACGCAGGCTATCAAAGAGAGCTGCACAACATCTCGTCCAAGGGTCATGCGCCGCTAGGACTGAGATCTGCGAAGTCTGCTTACTGGCTGCCGCCAGAGACTGCCGCGCTGTCGAAACCTCATTATACGCAGAAAACGGACATGTGGGAATTTGGTATTGTTTTTCTGCAAATGATATTCGGGCTTGACGTGCCTCAGAGGTATCATTCACCTTCCTCTGTGTCCGATTCAATGTCTCTGTCGAGACCGCTGCAGGAACTGGTCACAAGATTCTTCAAGGCAGACCCCAAGAAACGGCCTCGCGCCTTTGAGCTTGGATCCAGCGAGTTCCTTGCCACGGATGCGCCTGTGATAGTGGAGGATGATCCTGCGACCACGTCAAATTATCATTCCCTCAACACGTTATCGCCCATACCCCCGAGGTTGAGACGCGAGTCGACGAATAGAACTCTGACATCGTCGAGATATCTGGAAGACTTTGACGAGGAGGGCCGTCTAGGTAAAGGTGGTTTTGG